CCATTGTTCGGTTTAAACAAGAATATTTTCTGTTCTGCTTCTCGCCTTGTTGTCTTCATTTTTCCTTTTCAGGACATTCCAATCCCTGAATATTAGTCTGGATATTTGCCGAAGACTTGGTTACTTTACCCAGGAGCTTTTAAATTTATTTTCTGAATAATATGAACCAAATCTCAGCACATTAACCTCATCAATTCTTGTTACATACGGACCTGGATCTACGTTGCATTGTTTCGCAGTAACTAGTAGTTCGTCGTAACGCAATCGTTGTAACTCGCGCCAATTATTCTCACTGAACATTGCAGAATCTGGAAAATTATCGATAATTTTATGTGGAAAATTTTAGCCATCTATATGAAGCCGATATATATTATGAAATATTTCAGTAACTGAAAAAGTTTTACAAAAAATAACGTTAGCGATCTTAACATTTTGATCCTGGCTGTAAATTGGCAAGCCTCTCGTAACATGTTGCTATTTGAGAAGAAATTACTATTATTTCGCCCATCGATAAACCGATCGAACAGGCGACAAAGGTAGCCGCAACTTAAGCCAACACCAGCGAAATCCCCTGTTATTGTTAACTGCACGGTGTCTGATAAACGTGCGAGGAAGTGGATGAGTGTAAGGAAGGGAGGCAGCGAAACCACAGCTCCGAAAACGCTGCAAATCAGGGATAGAGATGGTAGATAAAATTCAGTAATTTTATTTAATGTTTCAATGTTAGCGGGTAGCCTAATGGAATGTGAGGCTTTCCTTGATAAAGAACAGCAGGTTAAATATTCCGCAATGCTTGGAATGAACAGTACCCCAGCAAAATTTTGTCGACTATACAAGAGTCTGAACGTAGCTAAGGGAAAAGCACTCCGTTCAGGGTAACTTAAAACTTTGTACAAGTTGCCGGAAATCCTCTAACATCTAACAGACCTTTGGTTAAACAGTTCTCCATAATGCGAATTAGGAACAAGAAATTTGCGGTAGGAACTTTGAAGTCGATCATTGGCCTGTTTGATCGTAGGACTATTCATTTAATTTTTAATACACAAATTCACAACAAACTGCCAACTGACTATAATAAGACAGTTGAGTGACTAGACCTCCGTTCATTGGACACTACTAAACACCTGGAACCTTAAGAAAGAACAAGACTCGAGAGCAAAGAGATAAAGTGATTTATAGTAGCTCATGAAAATGATATTGGCTATTCAATTTTAGTGTGACGGATAGTGGATATTGGAAATTCGAATGTTTACGTACACGTGTTTGAATCTCAAGGTCTTCTGGTTTATTTTCCTAATTTTTATAATCCTGTATTGTATCTGTGATTAACTGGTCACAAAGATATTGTCTGTTTGTTGTAGCCTCAACTCGTTGTAATCATTAGCGTTCCTTTTACCTACAGGCTTTCAGAGATATACAAAAAATGTTATTCGTTTATATACATTAAATAGGTTCAGGTATGTTTAACAACAGACAATTGTCTTTTTAAATCTTACTTGGGGATCATTTTCATGTTAAAACATTGCAAAATACATTCGCATTACTTAGTTAAGGTGTTTTTGGAAAACGCTGATTCGAAACCGATGGTGTACATAGACTACACGATTCCGAGAGAAAAAAGGTCAGTGAGCCTTTTAGCGGCCATAGACTACCACGTGAATGAATCTCCCAACGTTCTTTAACTGCCTTGTGAATTATACTTATTGGTTAAAGTTCCGGGATGTGGAGCTCTATGAAAATCTCCTGCTTCGACTTGAGCATCCGTGCAGTATCCCGGCCCGTTTAAAAATTCATTGATTGTTGGGACATACAGTTTGAGGCTTCCATTTTTACTAATGTTTATGTCCTTAAACAGATAAGTAAACAGACTCGAGATAACAATGGACGTTCACAGGATTATAAGGCACTAATATTTTCTGTCGTGCAGTCCTTGTCATATTGTGAATGTATTACAAAACAACTTGGATTTATTAAAATTAGCAAGACATTTTCTGTCGTCAGTGGCCAATTAACCTGATTCTGAACCTTTAGCGATAAATCCTCTTGGTTTTATACAACCACTGACTAGACTTACATTTCGGGATACGAACTTTATAAAAGCTTGTTTGAATAAGAAAATGTTTGCTACCGTTAGAACATTTCAATCATTGTAAAAGATCCATCATGAAGCTCTAATGCCATTATGTATGGACTAAGATATTTTGTAAGTCGGATAAACTTTGTGGAATTAAAATGTGAATGTTTCAAAGTTTTGTCCCTAGCCATTCAGTGGAATACTTGAGTTTATCTTGAATTCTCTCGTTGGATTTGCTAGATTCCACTTTTCACTCTCATACAGTGAATTATAGTATACAAAAAGGTATTCATTTACAGGGTCAAGTTATTCTCAATGCTAGGGATATCTACATTTAAGCTTTTGAAAGTGAGTAAGAAAGCATATACCTAAACTAAACAAGCCTGACTGTTAATGCGTGCACAAGTCACGTATGTGTAAATATAAACATTTGAATAATACAGTTTTTGTAGATGAACGGGGTACGAGTATAGATCTCTTAGTTGTAACAATTTCCGTTTTTAGAATCTGACTGTCAAATCTTTTCTTGTTTTCAGATAATAGATGTACTGATATTTCAACTTGAGCCGTTTTCTGTTATTATCAGTCTAAATTCATCGTGGTGCGTAGTTCAACCTAATTCCAGATGATGGAAAATGAAGATACCATAGGGCTCAAAAATTATAAACAACTAAAAAATACGTACAAACTATTTTGTGTGGGCTGCGTCGTTTTTCTTACTGGGTTTTTCTTCATATTTTTCGGTCGCCCGTACACATTCGATAGAACCAATAAAGACTTGTTCTTTGTTTTTGGACTGGTTTTTATTTTTCCTGGATCGTTTATAGCACTTATGTCGGCATATTTTCTTTTCCGTCTGTGGAAGATTTCAAATGACTTCATAAAGCTTAACAAGACTCCAGTTTATCCTGAAGATACTGTTGAGGATCTAATCCCTCCTGAAAAGCAATGGGTCATACCCGAAGAAACATCTCCCAACTTTTCCAAATTTGGTTTAGACTTAAATGAACCTATATAAACTGTCAACATTAAGGTAGATAATCATTTTTATGCTTATGTTTTTTCTGTGTTTTGCAATCATTTGAAGTCTTAGCATTCCTTTTGTATAAAGAGTAGATAACCTTTACACTTGTCAATGTTTATATTTATTCACAAGATACTACTTGATACTAAGTTGAAATTAAGGCTTGTACGTAGTCGAAGGTGCTTAAAAGATTTATTCTGCTCTTGTCAATACTATTTTCGTTTTTGTACGAACGAATTCACTTGTTCCAAGCCACATAAACTTGATCTGAGTCAACCAATGTTTTCGGGGCACACTAGATCTTCCTTTGGTTTAAAGGACTAGCAGAATTGAATTTGATTGAGTAGGAAACACTGAACAAAATGAGAGTGTAGTTGTCTGTTTTCAGTTACATAAATTTTGGTTCGAAGCTCTACATGAATGCATCTAAGTAATTCATTGCTTATAATTATGTTCCGTTTTACGATAATAATTGGGACGACAATAGAGCTTTCATCATTCTTGCAGGACAAGTAAATTCAACACATTATTTGGCGAAAAGTAAAGGAACTTGTATTACCAATAAGCTATAATGACTATTAGTTATGCTTATGCAGTGAGCCTTGTCTTCCATCTTTTAGCCCAAATAAAGTACAAGTTTCATTTTAGCTGTTTTGTCGACCCTGGAGCAAAAAGCGTTGAGATTTTACTGTGAAAAATCTTGGTGTAGAACTAATGATAATAAGATAACCAACTGAGTATCTTTTCAATGATATACGACTCTATTTCGTGAATAATTGGTGCCATTTTGCAATTGTTAAAAGGGGAAATTTTCAGTGTTTTTGGTATTAAAAACAGATACTTGAGCGAAAGTGAAACTTAGTCATAGGAAATATAACTAAATATTTGATTACATCCACTTTCTACAGTATTTTAGTTAGTAGTTGTCTTGTAGATTTCTACTGCCGGATCGAGTAATGAAAACGTTTTTATAATTAGAAGCTTTGTGTTACAAAAAGATGGATTCTATCTCATACAGTAATGTGCAAACGTTTTTAGACTATATCAGCTATCATAATCTACCTGAAACATTATTTTGTTACGAATGCGCGTAAACACGTCATTTGGCATTCTTGAACTATTACGAGTTTACCTTAGTCGGTGAACGAGAGCGAGGGTCGATGATCCAACGACACGTCCCGCTACTCTAATCTGAGTGTCCCAAACCCCGATTGAGTGAAAGAAGTGGACTTGATATGGAATAGAACGTGTATTCTACGAACATCCAGAAAGTACGAGGTCCGAGTCCATAAGTGAATCAGAATCCCGTACTATGTGTCTGGGTCCGGGTCATAAAACGTTGCAGATAATGCGTATTTATAGAGCATGTAGTATTTGACATCGATAGGTAGGACGACCATAATATTGACCGGTAGTAATTGACGAATAGGAATTAACCAATAGAACTAGACTTACAAATAACTCTCTTAGGATATTGGATGAATATCCTAACAGGTTTGGATACGTGCAACATGTGTTCATTTCATTTCCCACATCTTTATTTTATTTAATTCGCAATGCAAGTTGACTCGGGAAAACTTCTACTTCAAATTCGTGCAATCAACAACTAATAGGTCGCTCGGTCATAAAGTTTATTGTTCGGGATACCGGCACAAATAAAGACTTTAATCGTGAATAGGTTACGGGAAACCAGTCCTAGTCTTATTTTAATAATAAGGATGAAAAACACATTAATATCTTCTCTATCATGTACAGTTTTGTTTCCTCCGTCTTTCCATTGATCATCTACCCATAAATAATGGAGTATGATGAAACTTTGTTGTCTTACAAGTATACCATGTATCAATATTAAACATTTTTAGTAAAGAGATACAAATAAATTAACTCAGAGTTTGATTTGAATTGCAATTATATCCAAAAATATTATTAGTAAATAGTAAATTTCTAAATACAAAGCTGTTAACACTATGATTGATTCATTCAGACAACGTTCAATTTTGTAAACAAGTGATAAATTGTGTTAAACTCCTTCAGTAATTCTTTTGCCGAGAAGACAATATATGCAGGATAAGTAAAATATGGAAGAATATGTATTCACGTTTCTCTCCTAGTTGTATGGTCGTAGATAATAACTTGAAGATATTTATTAGTTTTGATCACTATTTTTGTAGAATTATCGCCGGGAGATGCAGCCTGAGATTAAAAAAGCAATACAATATTCTATTACAAACAGTCTAGTATGAAACGGTAATATATTTGTCGTAAACTGAATTAAGAGAAAGTCCAAAATCCTAGGTCTTGTTTATTCTGTCACGAAGATTGCAAGCTAAACAAATAATCTGATTTTTATGGGAGAGTAATCTCAGTTGTCAAAAGTTTTCTAGGATAGCGTAGTCTGAAATCTTAACGTGGTATGAGCTGCTGATAAAAGCTGTTACGATTCAAGACTAAAAGCTTAAGGGCACAGTAACACTACGAATCAACATTCTGAACCTATAAAAGGGTACTAGGTAAGGGCGGCAAATCTGCAGATGAAGTTGTAAATTTTCATCATTTGAGGTGGTTGGGACATGTGTTATGTATGCCCAACCACCGGCTGCCCTGACGAGCTATGCTGTATAGTACAGGGGTAGGCTGGAAAAGAACTAAGGGCGGCCAGAACAAAACATGACAATAATCCACGAAGTGATCGACAACTGAACTGAGCCATTTTAGTAGGAGTAGACTACGTGGGACGAAGGTGACCAGTGGTTAGAGACCTTGAACAACACGGCTAAAAATCGTTTGCAATGTCGCAAGTGAACCTACTTTTCGTGTTTTTTCAAATTCTAACCTCCTGAATTCCTCACGAGCTTGTTTTGTCTATTTGTATCAATTCCATTGGGATGTATATCGAATCATGCCCTTGATCCTTAATCTTTTCTATTACCGCTAATACTAATAATACATCTACCACTCTGAGATTTGCTGATGTATATGAGTACTATTGTCTACGTTGTAGTTGACTGATTGATTGTACATCGAAAAACATATTTCAGTATCATATACTATAATATACACAAACCATTATAAAATTATAACTTACATTTGGATCAACATTTAAGATTTTTCTGTCACGTTTATTCTTAAACAAAAGACCATTGGGACTTTCTGTTATTACTGTATAATTTGGCGATGAAGTGGCTACAACATTTTGAGTTTCCCAATTATAAAAACTAGGAATTAAATTATTGTATATATACATATATTTAGAAATACGCACAGTTTTTATGCTTTGGAAAATTATTTACGCATAGAATAATAACAACAGTAAAAATAAAATTTAGTGTTAATCTTAAATAAATGTACGGTATCATCTTCAATGGCATGAATAAATCAAGTGGGAGGGTAAACTAGATACATAAGGCAGTTAAAAATGTACATATATGTTGGGGGTTTCATGCTTCAGAATTGTATTTATTGTATAGTGGCAGATATTTTAGATTTGGGCTATGGAATCGATGATGATAAGCATTTTACAGATTGAAATCTCAGAAAAAGTGTAAATGAAGAGTGTATCATCATTGAAATAAACGAAGCACATTATATGAAACATTAATGTTCAATGCTAAAATTACTAACGCTCTTATAAAGCCAAATGAATTCGTGTAGAAATGTTTGATTTGATTTGATTTTGCACCAGTGTTTTGAACGAGTAAGTCGGGCGTGCTAAAATAGCCGTATTTAGAAAATTGTAGTATCTGAAGGACGCAAATGACTGAATATGAACATGAAAGTCAGTCAGTAATATATGAAACATGACCTAAAATAATATTTGTGCATCAGTTCAGGTTGCTACACTACAACACGGGGCCTTCTAAATTTTTCAACAGGAAAGCGAAGTAATTACAAGAAACTTTCGAAACTCGGGACCTATGAAAATAAAAAAAATGAATGTATCTGTGCCATGATGAAAAACTCGGAGGCATCCATTTAATTTCTACAACTATTGGTTATGATCACAAACACTCTAAGTAAGAAGTCTGTATCTACCGAAATGATTCAGTCGCATAATAAATAACTTCATAAACTGCATGGATGTATTGATACACCAGCTAGAACCTCCTTTTGAGGTACATATTGGTTGATCCCTGGTGATACATATCCAGATCACTTTATTTTGTGGAGGTTTGCTGTCTCAACAATCGCACAATCACTTTCACTCAGAAACTTATGATAAATTTGAGCATCACATTTCATGGTTCGCAAATACGAAAGCGATGTTTCGAAGACAGATAGATATAATCGAATCAAAGTAGATTAGTAAAGCTCCTTACCTTTAAAGGTCATGCTTTACATCTATCTATAAAGCAGAACACAGTTCACTGCCATACAGTACTCTCGTCCTTCGGTTGACAGACGAATGAATATCTCCCCTACTTTACAGGTGATACGTTGGCAAACGTCAACCGAGCTTTTCCAATCCATGCCAAAATTTGGTCATAAACACACTATTCAGCAGTATTTATTTAATTGATAAGCTTAATTGCTGTTCAAGTGTTGTTATGTGGTTGGTTGTTTATTTCCTTTCTTAACATAAGATATTTTTCAGTTCGTATAATTTGATTCTATCGATTTAAAAATGTGATTATGAAATTTTACCAATGAAATCATGAGAAAAAAATAATGTATGTTTATAAAAAATAAATGAAACTGACTAATTATAAATAGATGAAATATTGTCTTCAAATGCACCTTAGATCTCCGAGTTTTGGGAGTAATTTTTTCTTTTCTTTAAAGTATGCTGTAAAATCTTCCGTTTTTAAACGATGTGCATAATCTATATATCCGGATATTTCTTGGCCACGGTAATTCTTGTCTCGAATGAAAATGATAGTCTACAAAAATGTAAAAATTCAAAGTGAAATCTAAGGGTCAAGTATAAGTTTATAAGAAAAAAAACATTATCTTTAGGATAGTTGTTTTTTAAATGTTGGAGAGATTTATTTCAGGTTATTGTATGCAAACAGATAAAATAGGTCAGTGTTTGATTCATTTTACTATATGCAAGGGGATTATGGTAATTAAATTTATTAGAGTTTCAATAGTTTGATTAGTTAGATTTTGGAATCTTTTGGTTTTGATAATTCAACAGCTACATGTTCTTCTAGTCCGTAACTTTCTCACCAAGTACATAGTTATATTTAAAAAGAATCTCGGGTTAACTGGTTTGGAAGATGAAATGAAGCTGTACAACAAGGAATGACACCTTTTTCAAGGTATGTATCCAGATACTAATGTATTTATCGCTGTTTTTGTTATTGATACTTTAAGGAGTATGGGATAAACACTCTAAGGTAAGTAAATGATGGTCTCGTAAAAATTTGAAGAGAGCATAGACGACGCACTAAGTTGAAGTTAGATCTTCACAATTTTTACTTCGTTGTAACTCATTAAGATTGGTTATATGTTTGATGTATTTTTACAAAATTCATCGTAAGCAAACAGTCACTTGTTGAAGCTTCAACATTCATGAATTAAGATTGGCATACTCAGTAGCTGAGATACACTGACACATAGGTACTAGCATACGCATATATAAACACGTACATGAATACAAATAAATAATTACAACTAGGCGAATACGTACTGTTGTGTTATGAGGTTTCCAGTTTTAATACTGATAGAAAAAATTATGTATATATGAATGTACCACCTAAAGAGTACGGTTTACAATAACTTATTAGAAAGATTTTTCCTTTTATACACAAACAAACGAAAAAGGGGACATTTTGATAGGATTTTGTATAACACTTCTTGGGTTTTATAACCGTGATCGACTTTAAGGTAATCCTTCAGTTAAGTTTCTTCATCATCATTTTTTTCTTATCGGCCGCAATAAAACTACCTTTGAACAGTTAGTGTGTTTAGACATTCTTAAATCTTTGACTAAGTATATCGAATGTTCTTAACAGTTGAGACTTACTTAGTGTTTAAAAATTATTACCCTTTTTTGAACAAACAGAAAAATGTTACTTGCAGATATTTCACCGGTCCGATTAGAATCTTCCCTCTCAGCTAAAGCTTGAATAAATGGACACGTTATTTCCAAAACGAAGGAAGACAATGCACTAAAATAAACAAAAACTTTTATTAGGGTACTATTTTCTTACACTTAGAAAGTAATTTTGAATAATAACTACATAAAAGGGTAAAAATGACCTACAAGTTTAGGTGAGAAAGTAAAGTACTTATTTCAGTAATAAATGTGAGTAACGAGCTAGTTAGACCTCAAGTTCGTGTTAATTTCTACGCAGATTGGAACAACCTATATCCTCTGAGTACAATAAAAAAGCTGGCTTTGAACCTAAAAGTGGGAACCATTTTTAGGGATGGCAACTCGCGCACATTCAGTTTAAAATACTTAGTTATTCTGTGCTTCATATGTTTATTGTACTCTACTTTGGATATAAAATCAAATTCTAGGATGTATAATAGTACCAAATAAACATGCGTCTGAAAACTGTTGTTCTCATATTTTTAGGCCGCAGAACCTCATTTCGTTTGTATCTTGTCTATCTGTTACGAACTTTTGGCTGGAAGACTTAGGAAACAGGGCTAAATATTCTAGAGTTTCTTCTGTTGGCGCTTTTGCATATAGACGTAAGTATCTCAAGATATGAAGGTTTTTGTGATAAAAAATGACCACGAAATGTAATTTTGTTTGTCAAGTAGAAGTCTCGTTGATTATTTTATCACGGTGTTGTAGTGAGCGGGTCAAGATACCAGATTGACTATGCTCACCACTAAATGTTCCATACGGTCGCGTCACGAATATCAAAACAAATGCATGATCCAAGGTTTTATTGAAGGAGAAAGTAGGCATTACATTGGGAACAGCAAATAGAGAAAAATGGCAGCGATGCAAAGAGAACGTTGCGCGCAAGAAGTCATTGTAGTGTTCCACTACAGTGTCATTGTGCTATAGATAATCTTGATCATTCCCCAGTTAAATATTGTGAAACGTAAGTTAATTTAACATTAATAAAAATTTGAACAAATAGCTAAACATATATGTTGTTTTTGAAAGAAACTTCACAAAACCGTAGTACTTTGGACATCTTACTTCTGAATAACCAGAATCATTTATTCATATTGGATACTGGATATAGAAATTAAGTTCACGAAATGTTAGCCGAATTCTGTAATAAAAATAAGTGACAGTCAGATTAACGCAGAAAGTTTGGTCACTTATTCAGTCAGCACATCTGACCCGAATTATTTCCCCTGGTATTTTTTGCTCCTGGGTTGTGAACTAAATGATGACATGGATGAAATGCATGAAGACGCATTTCACATAAAAACAACTAGACCAACCAACCAAGAAGTGGTTTTTATGAACAATACAAGCTGTAGCATAGAATTTAACTTCATATAAAATGAGTTGGAAGTTTTATAATTCAACTATTACAAGAGCTGGTTTGTAAATTACTAATATTTGCTATAGTGAATATTACTCTTGCCGACAAATGTTATTGAATTTTTACATGTCGAACCCAGAACCGCCTGAACTATTAATGCATGAAACACATTATGCAAGATTATATGATTTCTTGGTAAACAATAAAATCTATGAAAAATAGGGCACACTCGATACCCAGATATTCACTTTTTTTGCTGCTCTTTTGCTAGCATTGCTTCTGCAAGAGCTTTCTTACGGTTATTGAATTCCTCACGCTTCAATGTTTCGCCTGATCCTCTGTAACCTAGTTCGACAAGCTGTCGAGCCAGTTCTTCATCCTTGAAATTACCATATAATGAAAGAAAAATTTAACACACCTCCAAATAGAAAAGGTCAGTAGTTGTTATCTGCGAATCTAAATAATCCTCATAATTTTCAAACTGTGATACAGCATCGTCAACTCCAACAGATTGAGAGTTCTGATCCTCCATGTCTTTTATTTATTTCTCAACACCAACCGTATCGTTCTTATTTGTATTCTTGTCCTTTGTTACTATGTTTACAGACCTGGTGATGTATTTAAACAAATTAAAGACAATTTTGAAACTGTCATTAATATTGTTGAAAATTGCAAATGACTGAAGATCAGGCGAGCTGTCCTTCTAGTTTACATTTTATGGCTTATTAACCAACTGTCGTAACCAGTAGTTAGAGACTTTGAATGACATGATACAAAATCGTCTGGAATGGGGCTGATATATCCATTTTTCGGGTGCACTTTAATTCTAATTCTCTGAATTCCCTTATGACCTTTACTTAATGTTTTTAAACGTCTACATGCTAATGTGTTACGGCATGTACGTACTTATCGATATCTGCATTGTATCTAGCTAAATGACTGTCACTGATTCAACGAATTATCGGCAGGCATTTTAACAAATACTACGAAAATACGTTTAGTACCTGGAAGCAATTTTGCATGAATTATGAGACGTTCCGGTTAGTCCACCAAGAAATAAATATTTTATTTCTATTCTTACATTATTCTGAGTCAGTTTGGGCAGTCAGTCCATTTGAGATTTGTTCTCAGTTTCTGCAGCTTCTATAAGTTTTTGTATGATTCCAGTTCTGAAATTTTCAATGATAAATCTTTGTATTTTTTGCTACTGACTTAGTGATGATGCCCTTATTGCTGGATGAAGTTCTTGTAAAGCAGGTACAGAAATGAGCAACGAAATGGGAGATTGGCTCGATCGAAGATAGACTCCAGCATCTGGGATCGATTCATCTGAGAATCACAGGAGATCTGACAATGGCATACCACATGTTAGGCACACCAAATCATCCTAACGTAAGCATCTCGCCAAAACATCACCAATACGGCACCTGAGGCAATCCTCGAAAAATTGCACGTCAAGGACCGAATACTCAGGATCGCACACACCTTTTCTCATTAAGAGTCGCTGCAACTTAGAATGCCATCTCAACCGAGGTGACTTCAGCCCACCCACTGGATAGCTTCAAGAAGAGACTTGATAAACACTTAGTCATTATTGGTTTATCATATCCGTCGTGCACCAGCTGTACCTGATGCATGTCTTGAGACCTGCTAGTTGTTATTATCGCCATCTCAGATTACCAACCTAATCTGTCCCTCCCATTATCTCTGTTTCCTCTCCCTTGATTCACTTCCTCTCGCACAATCTTCACTATCATTCAGTAAACTAAATTATTTATTTACCTACTTAGTTCTTAAATCTTCTCATTAGCATTAGAATTTTTTCTTTGTTATTCTCCACATCGCAACTAAATGATCTCGTCTCGGTAACGTGATAACTGCTGGTGTCCAGAAAACCTACTACCCTTAAACGAACGTATTCATTCTAATTACGGAACAAGCAAATTCCCAACACAACTGCCAATTAACTAGAATTAGTGCGTTTGAGTGGCTAGACTACCATCCATCGGACATTACCAAATACCTGGAACCGTAACGAAAGAACAAGAATCAAGTGCAAAGAAATTAAATGGTTTAGACTGGCTCGTGAAAAAAGATATTTGATATTGGATATATTGGATAAATCGTTTGTAGAGATTTATTGAAATTGGACTTGAATCACACAACATAGAAGTTATTTCAAGTCTTAGCTGACTTTCTTCCTGTAATAACAAAATTATCTCTCACTCAATGTAAATCATAAATACTTTTTCGTTAATCCCATAATTTCATTTTACGTACAAACTCACACAAGCTAACATTTGTGTGAACACTTCGCGAACGACCGATTTAGTTGCAGATAATTCGGAATTCTTATGCTGTAATATTTTCTCCAGCCATTTCTATCCTAGGCTCAAATATCCTGTTGCTTCTAATCGCTACTTGTTTTTTGACACCGTCCTTTAATTATCAACACATTGTGCCGCTTTTCTGTCCGGTTTGTAACTTTCTGATTAGCGTTGGGCTGGTAATGCATATAGGTTATTCCTACAATCTGTATACTATCCTCGATGCAACCCTTTTAATTCTCTGTCACTGTAGTTTGTTGCTTAATGTGTCACGCCAAAGGATATGGAGTATTTTGCGTTGAGAACTCTTTAAAAATGCCAATACGTTTTCGAGGATGGTTTTAGCGATTCCTCATGATTCAGCTTCATACAACAGAAGTATAGTAATAACGTCATTGAAAACTCGGACTTTGATGCTGTCTGACAATCGTTTTAAGTTCCTGTACAGTGACTGACCTAATTTGCATTTGTCGTTGTACTTGATAAAGTAGGGATTAGTTGTCCGCAGATTTCGAATCGACACGCTGCATTCACAGTCAGCTGTAAAACGTGCTTCTAATGACCTGCGATCTTCATAATTCAGTTGACCATCAGAATGGATAAAAATGTCGAGGGTACGCAACCTATCATGTCTTAGATCTCCTCCTTGAATGCGTATGTGGGCAGAATCGCTGACCTATCTAAGCAAAACTGAAATTTAAAACTTATAAGCACTGAAAGTCCATTTCGTCCTAGTATGAAAGTCCTCAGTAGGTCACATCCATGACGACGCATGTGGGAGTCGAACCTAGGAACATCGGTCTTGAACTCAAACACACATACCAATGATCTGTGATCGAGTAGTGCAAGAATTCAACCCCAATCAATCCACGAAATTGAACAGCCATTTCTTATTGCCTTTGATGAGTAAATACGTCACACCAGACACAATAAAAGTCCACTGCTGACCCTATGTAAGGATGAAACGTCCGTCAAGTGCTTTCAGTGCTGATCAATCTCAGATCACTTCATGACTTCAGTGGAACTCAACAATCTCCAAATTTCCTTACTGATAGAAACTATTTAACTGGAGGTCATTTTGGAGTAGGGTTCTGTCATAGTGTTGATTGAATGAGACAGTTCAAAAACCCCTCAAATCAGGTCACCTATTTGCCTAAATTTATTTGATTGGTCAGTCCCTGCAAACGGAGTTTCAAGAATATTATCCCGTCTCTGAAGCACATGCTATAAAGCAAAGAAATTAAACACCGTCAAAATCCTAAAATTTTGATATCCCATTGACTCAATATTTACAACTTCATAAGATAAGTGAGAAAATGCTCTGTTTCTTATATCCGCAGATTTGAACACAACTTCTAGTGGTTGCCAAACACGAAGACAAAAAGCTATGTGATTAGACTTGTAATGACATGCAGAAAGTGTAATGGGGAAGAACTGATAGTGTTTAAAAGTCATAGTAACCCTTAGAAACGATCGAAAGAAGAATGTTGTTCATGAATCAACTGTTTTGACTGCAGTCATATTATAATGAAAGCATGTAGTCTCACTGAAACTAGAAAACTTGCAGAACATAATGGATGTACTATTTGTATCATCCGAATTTTTTTGAAGATTTCCCTCCTAGTTTAGCTTAAATTTTTGTTGAAAACCTCTAGTCGATTCTTTTTAATTTCTCGTTACTTTAATGTTGTAAGGTAACATGACGTGATTTAATAAACGCTCATGCGAATTTCTATGTTGTGTAAAAACGAGAAAAAGTGAGCAAAAGGAATTAACTGAGATTACTACCATAATCAATGCACATTAAATGGGAACTGAATATTATATAAGCAACACTGTTTTTAAGCCATTACCGACGAGTAACTTATAACTTGATGAATAGGTCTATACATTTCAAATGAAGAAAATAGAGAGTAAAGCTTTGATTATATATTTAATATCAGAAAAACATCAGAAAACTTAGAAATATAAAGCGAACATCATGATATCCAATGAAATCACAGAGAAGAATTGAAGTAAATCAGAAACAGTATTGATTATTATCAGCACCATCAATTTGGATGGTTCAAAATAAGAAGTTAAACAATTGAATAAGTGTACACTTAGAAAATTAAACAGGTTTTTTAAATTAATGGCAGCATGAAAAAAACTAAGTAACAATCTTTATGTATTAATCCCAATCAAAAGGATTTAATGACTGTTGCTTGGAGAGATTTTGTTGTTGTTGTTGATTGACTAGTGATTCATTGAAACCAGCATCTACAGATTCATGATGTTCAGATTTATGATTAGACGAATGAGATATTCGGTTTTTGTTAGTATCATCATCATTATTCATACAATCATCAGTGGTTTCATCAAATGGATTCACTGGTTTATGTACAGATAAATTTGATTGCACTGGATCAGTCGATGAAAAATAACCATCAGATACAAATGGTTCCAGTTCGAAAGGATTAGTTGATGAATTGTGATCATCATTAAGAAGAGTATTCACATTTTTAACACTTGTCGAAGTAAACATCATCTGATTTGACGATGGGTGTTGAGGTAATGTCAAAGATCTAATAATAAAAAATGATAAAATATTTAACTATTAGGAATTGTATAGTAACTTTGACTAGTGTTTGTAGTCAATCAGTCGGATGCAACGTAGAATTTCGTACATAAGTACATCAGTTCATGTTGCCATACCACATCAGCACAGAGATGTAATTGTCAATTCAAACCCCATAATAGTAGTAGAGGTAGTAAAGGTATTAGAAGTAATCGAAGAGGTTAGGATTAGAAGATATTATTCAAGAAGTATGATTCGGTGAGAAAAGTTTAGAAAGTCAAAACTAGAGGTGTTGTAGAATCCAGAAGATTACGATTTGAAAGAACACAAACAATAAATGCACCTGCGCCATTACAAACGGTTTTGAGCCATGTCATTCAGGGTCTCTAACCATCGATTATTGTCATCTCGCGGACCCCAACCAGGTAGTCGACAACTATTGACATGATTCAGTCCACTTGTCAACGACTTCATGGATTTGTGCCATGTTTTGGTTTGGCCACTCCTAACTTTCTTCCAACCTACTTCTACACTACAAAACAAAGCTCGTCGAGGCAGTCGGTGGTTAGAAATTCGTAATACATGTCCCAACCACCTCAACTGATGAGGTTTCATTACTTCATCTAATGATCTGCCATTCTTACTAGTGGTTGCACTTGAAATAGAAATTTTTTTAAAGCATTCTACCATCATCTCATAATACACAGATGAATGCTTAACTTGTACGTAAAATAAATGTAACCATGCATGATGTTGTGAATGAATTGCGTTAGAAACTGTTAACAAATCTTATTGATCAATTGTACCAATCGTTTTCGTCTTCAATGAATAAGTAATAATAATAATAATATTTCAACTAACTTACTTAAAAGATGTTGAAAGTTTGATTGAACCAGTGGACGATTGTTTATCTATAGACGAGGCATCATCATCACCATGACCATTGACGTGTTTCATATTCTGACTACCGATTGATGATGATTTACTTGGATTAGTTAATAATCCAGAATTCTGAGCTAAAACATTCGATATAGCTTTACTTAAAAGTGGTGCATGAATTGATGATGTATGGAAATTTGAAGCCGGTGTTGTTGTTGTTGTAGTGGAAATGTTTATCGCAGAAGAAGGCATTCTACAAGGTGAATCTCTAGACATATTTCTCTCTTTCACTAAATCTAATGCAGTCTTCAATAACACTAATAATTGATCAGGTGATTCTTTCATATTTCCATATAATGATTGATTAATTGGTAAGGTATCATTGATTTCAGCCAACAATTTCCTAAGCAAAAGAAGTGATGAAGAAAGATTACAATTTCAATCATTGTAGATATATATATGAAGCCTAAGGTTAATTATTGAAGAAAGATTTTTGTCAGTATCATCTGACTTTCATTTTATCTGAGCACATGAAAAGTAAGTCAGTAAGGAGAGTAGAGTTACCGATTTGTCGGGTATACATTGAGTGTACATAAACTTTATTCTTGTATTTTCACATTAACTGATAAACATTGCCTTGCACACAAATTTTAATTGAATGCTACAGTCAATAAATACTCTGTCTTCGAAGATTTGGCTTTAAAAATGATGAAATAGCTTGTCAGGTTGACTTCAAACTAACTCAATAATGTAGTTGAAACAGACATGTGTAATCACGAAACTAGTCCTTGCTATATCAAACAAATGACTTATTGAGATGGTTACATTATTAAACAATGTGTTTGTTTACCATTTATATAAAAGTGCGTGCAAAAACAATTGACATTTTAAAATCTTTCAGAATAATTAAAAATCAAAAAATTATGAATTTGTTGTGTTTTGCTAAAGTCGTCATTTTTAAAAGGCTGATACGGAATATAAGCAATCAATAGTGATGTAAGTTGTCAACATTTAGTTGTGTAACATCTCGCCCATTGTGTTGTCCATTTATACAGTTTGATTTTGTTGTTTTTGCTCACTATGAGATATACAGAACTAACGCTTAACTTATCAGATTTGAGTAATTGTGATTAAGTAAATTTTGACAACGATTTTCCATTTCTAACCGATCTGTGCATTTTGAAACTTTCTAATAATATATCCACACTGATACGTGTTAGTGGGACATGGGTGGAATTAAACCATGACTACGTTGCTGCGCGCTGATTGGCTAATTTCCTATTCAATCAGCGCCTGATCGATTCTCGGAGAACAGGGAAGAAAATTCTCGCGTTGTTAGCTACACGCTGATTGGCAAAATCTAATCCAGTCGATCACGTGAATTACTATCCAGAAGCTTCTCATATAAATACTATAAAGAAACTAACGTTGTTTCTTTTTCGCCTTCGGCTTTGTATTTCTATTTAACCTTGCTATTTGGAATATAATCCTTTCCTGCTCCACCGTGTTTTTGATTCTTTGGAACTTGTCCAGTGTATTGTAGTCAGAGAATACGAAGCAATAGGAATTAGCTGGGAATTATTTAAGCAAGCGTTACAACACAACGTAAGAGATTTTCTAGTAATATTTCGATGTTTGTTCATTTTTTACTTATATACAAATCTAACTAAATATACCAGAGTGGTAAAAGGATAAAACAAGCGTTTTACTTGCTCGAGAATACGACAAATTGGACTTGTTCAGTTCAACTGAGTGAGAAAACATGGAACAAATAATTTTGCGTAAATAAGAAACAATATAGACGGAGAGTGAAGACCATGTACGATTGGAAAAAAATATAAAAATAAAAACCTCCGAAATACCAAGACAAACCATTGCCTATATTTGTTTTGCAAATGAAAAGCTCACAAAGGTCACACTAATCGAAAATAAAATTAAAGAAAGCCGAAACCATGATACAATCATTAGAAAAAAATTAAAACTAGAATTGATTGTTTGACAAACATCACCAACATAAAAGCTTAGCATACAATATTTCCATATTTCGCGTTTCTTCAGAATATGAGCAATAACTAATCTGCGCTAATGAAAGTAAGTATATTAGTAAACCAGCTGAAACTTATAGGCAAAGCTAAACACAAAGCGAAATCAATCTAAACGACGCTTTCTCTAAAGAAACCACCACTTGGTGGTGAGTTTCATGAAGTCTATTTAAAAATGATAATGATGTCGTTTTTACGGTGAAAGTCAATAAAATTGAAAAAAAAAAACACACAACACAAATACATGTGATAAAAATGTAATCATCATTCTGAATAGAAATGAACCTACTTATTTTGAGGTGCACATTGAGGGCATTGTTGATCACCATAAGCATAATTGTCAAAGCATCTATCACAATTGATAATTTATCAGTAAATAAATAAATATATATAAATATATATACAATACAAAGAAACATTATTATTGTTTTTTTAATTATGAATAGGAGAAATATGTAAAATAACTACTTCATAAAATTATGAAACAGTTTGATAATTCATCATAACTATTATAACTATTTGTTTTACTGAATATTGATTGCTAAGGAAACTAACTACTACTAACTTAGGTTACCGAGTATTTTTGTTGTTTGTTAATAAATGAGAATTCCTTCTTTGCAATATGATGACGGAAACATTTTGTCAAATACATATTTTTAAATTGACCTTGGTTTTGTTATTCAACTGATTGTTTTCATTCTTAGTTTGCTAAATTTATTGTTGTTTCACTAGGACAAATTGACTTCTCGAATATCAAGCTGTTTTTGAATTTCTAATTTCTCTCTCTCTGTATCCGATAGTATTGGGGATTAGTTTCGAAGTGTTGTATGGGACAGCCGAGTAAGCAATGCTGTCGTTAGGAAACTGGTCTTAGGTAAGGGTCGAGGATCAATAGATGAGGCGTTGAAACTTCATCAGCTGAGGTGGTTGGGACATGTGTTGCGTATGACTAACCATCGACTGCCTCGTCGAACTGTGTTTTGCGATGTACGAATAGGTTGGAAGAAAGCTAGGGGCGGCAAACCAAAACATGGCAGAAACCCATGAAGTCACTGACAGCTGGACTGAGTCATATTGGAGGGTGTCGATGTCCACGAGACAGTAGTAACCGATGGTTAGAGACCGTGAACGACATGGCTCAAAACCGTTTGCAGTGGCACAGGTCCACCCACTTTTTGTCTTCTCTCAAATCCTAATCTTCCGAATTACTCATCATCTTTATCTTTTTTTTTCAAGTTCTTTTTCATTAGATTCTACTCCTTAAACAATACAATCGAACCCCAATCTCTCGGATTAGTGCTAATACTTCTACTACATCCACCACTGTGGGATTTGAAGTGACAATCGCATCTCTGTGCTAATGTGGTATGGCAACTTGAACTGATGTACGTACGAACGAAGTTCTATGTTGTTGTTGTTGTTGACTGATGTGAATCACTCAACCAATCGAATTCACAGTAGATTCTGTTTATATCAGAAAAGTCTCAATCGTAAAACTTTCTAAGCATCATTTATCGAATGTATGACAATGATTTAGTTTCAATCTTCTTTCAAACATCAAATAAAATCTATATCTGTGAATTTACAGAAACTTTAAATTCCTTCATTCCTAAATAACCAACAAGATTTAAAACAACCTAACCAGAGAAAGGTGAATGAACATTGTGGAAAAAAGATCAACTAATCCTTATGTAACATGATTCTATTTTATATTAAAAAAAAAACTTCGCATATTATCAACCAGAGGGGTCAGTCAATACTACAATAATATAAGAGAGTCTATCAATTTCAACCATGGACAAATCATAATAATTAATTTTTTCAGTAATTGTCATGAAGACCTTGAACTTTCACAGTCAAATAATGAAGATCATATAAATATGTTTATAAATATCATAAGAACTGTTGTTAACAGTTTTAAGACAGCCTTTTACAACTTAAGCAGTATAAATACTGAATCGTTTGGTGCAGATGTATCAATCAAAGTTTCAGAAAGTAATTATTTTCTATATAATTTTTAATGTGATTTGAAATATTGTGACAGACTTTTGATCAGTTCGAATTGATCTTTTTGAGTGTTTTGTGGAGATTAACTTTCGCATATCTATTATGATATAAGATTTATGGATTGGGGTTTCAATCTCAGTTAGATGGTTTGATTATGAAGCTTTCATTGTTCTCCTGAGTAACATAAACAGCAGCAGAAACTTCAAGTAGAATATATATTATATGTATTAAGTGTATCCTGGGACAACCGTATAAGCAATGCTGTCGCTAGGAAACGAGTTCTAGGTAAGGATGGCAGATCAGTAGATGAAGTTTTGAAACTTCATCAGTTGAGGTGGTTGGGACATGTGTTACGTATGCCTAACCACCGACTGCCTCGACGAGCGTTGTTTTGTGGTTTAGGAGTAGGTTGGAAGAAATCTAGGGGTGGCCAAACCAAAACATGGCACAAATCCATGAAATCACTGACAAGTGGACTGAGTCATGTTGGTAGATGTAGACTACCTGTTTGGGGTCCGCGAGACGAAAGTCACCATTGGTTAGAGACCTTGAACGACATGGCTCGGAATCGTTTTCAATAGCGCAGGTGTATCCACTAGTTCTGTGCTTTTTAGTTCTAACCTTCTGAATTCCTTATAATCTCTGTCTTTCTCCTTAGAAATTAATCTCACTGAATTATACTTTTCGAATCATACCTTCGCTCCCTAATCTTCGCCATTACTGCTAATACTTTTATTATCACTATCACTCCTGGATATGAACTGACAGTGGCGTCTCTGTGCTGATGTAGTATGGCAACCTGAACTGATGTACTTACGTACGAAGTTGTATCTGTCTGTCTGTCTCTGATTAGCGGTGGAATCCAGGATGAGTGTTTCGTCCTATTTAAGACTCACCAACTAGATGTACATCCTATTTATTGAATATTTCATCGTTGTTTTAATTATTGTATAACTGTTGACTATCACAATGCCAGTACAGCGATGAGAAGGAAAATGTGTAATATAATAAAATGGTAGTGCAGAATTCATCTAATACAGATTACAACTACTAAACAACTAGTCTATAGAATCTCATAATTCTATCGTTTAAACTAAAAAATATAAGGATAATGTAATACTAATTAAATGTTCAATTGATTCGATGTTCTCTTGTGCTTACTAACAACCAGTATGAAGTTTTGAATTTAGATTTTGTAGGAATCGGTATTTGATAATAACCGTTTTTTTTTCATAGAAAAAAAGATAACATTCAAAGGGATTCAATTTTCAATAGAACATAAATGATGCATGAAAAATTTGGCATAAAAAAAGAAATCATAAAATTCAAGCATTTCACTTACACTTTATGATAAGAATGATCACATAGAAAATGAATTGATGGCGTTTCCAGACTTTGATGACACAATTGACATTTTTGTTGTTGGAATATTTTTACTCTGAAAATTTGAAAACATGTAAAACAATTCATACCGAGAAAAAAAGGTGAGAGAAAAAAGTCAATAAAAAAATATTTTTCGAAGAGAAATTATAAAAATCTTATCATGAAAACACCAGTATAATCTTATAGATGAAATCATTAAGTCTTTTAAAAAAAGTGTTGGGGAGGTTAGATTACGAGAACTAACTTGATCAAGGTCCTAACTTTGGATTTTTTGTGTTTTCGCGCATGGGCTGATCAGTCGACCTTGAGATTACATTTCCCACCCGGAAAATCCTTGGCTGTCATTGGTTGATGTATTATTTTAGTACGCTATTTTTGTGGCTCTCTCAAAGACGTTTCTAAGATGTATAAATAAACTTGATTTGTGTGCTTGTTAACCTATTATTTTCTGGTTGTTTGTAGAATACACTTTCCACAGCCTATAAAGACTTCTTTCTCTACTCAGTAGGGCCTTAGGACGCTGGGATTAGAGTAGTCTATAGTGCCATTGAATCATTTGTCTCTCTGTCGTTTATCGACTAAGGTGAACTTGTAGTAGTTCAAGTGTATCAATTGTCGAGCATAACATAAAGTAACAAGTCGTCATCTATTTGATTATCGTCTATTTTGACAAGTGATGTTTACCGGTGTAGAAGTAGGTTGAAAGAAAGCCAGAAGCGATTAAACCAAAAACGTGGCACAAGTATATGAAATAATTGACTATTAAATGCATCATGTCCGTATTTAGAAATTATTTGATTGAGGTCGACATGATTATTGCAAATAAGAGTCGGATATTTTGGTTGAGATAGTTCAGAATCAGTCGTTATGGTATATAAAGACACCTATTCTTCAATTTACCTTAGATTTTGAGTTTTAAAATTATTTTATAACATTAATTTCGTAAATTCATTCTTTTTAAATCTTACTGTATATGTTCAATTTTTTCTACTACAACGGATTCTGTTATTACTTCTACCACTCAGATGTTTGTTTTGATAACTACATCCAATTGTGTACATGTGGTGTAATAACTTAAAACGAAGAACATATATAACAGGTTCTGTGTTGCTTATATCTCACTGATTGCTTAATAATAATCTGTTCACAACATAGAAATTAAATTATTTTAAAATGACGTTTTTATGGTTCATGCACGGTAAAAAAAAATATGTTAGTTGATATAAACAAACGTATAGTAGCGTCATACAATTATTTTACACTCCTCAACTGAAACAAATCCATTAACGGTAGTTAAACCATTTAAGTACACAAGATTACTGAGCAGTATGAATATTGGGTATAAACAACCTGCAGCCTAAGTAACTCTTCTCCTTGTATATACTATGTTTACAGCAATACAAAGATAACTGTTTGGGTAGTATACTTGCTCTTAATTTTGCAGATGGATATTATGTCCATGCAAAAATTAATGCTAGTGTTAGTAAAAATAGAATGAATGTTGTGACCGAGTAGTCGCCAATTTTATACCTACATCATCCTACTAATAATACTTAAAACGAGGAACCATTAACACTCCCACGACACGAAGTAAGGACACATACAGCTGGTACGTGGGAAGATTTATTCACTTTAAAACACTTCGTATCCTAGTCAAGATTCCATCACGTATCGACCTAACCAGAGTGTGATGACACTTTCAAGATAGCTAAAGTTATTAAAAGTTATTACTGATGATAATGTAACACTGATTTACATAGTCAAAGTTAGTTTTAAAATCTGAACTTATCTAGTACGATTGACATGTAATTTTAAAAATTCAGATCACTTAATGACATCCATTGACTTCTTTTTTTTAGCACGTTATTATATTATGTAGATAACCAAACTGTTGAGTGATAATCATAAAATGTTGACTGTAATATTACGTAAGTACAGAAGTGATCCGAATGATTAATCTGCTGAAACAAGCAGTAACCAGATACAGTGGTGTTACATGTATTTGACACTAAGCTATGGTAATATTCAGAGCATCAAGAAAAACTGCAATATTATCAAACTCATAATCAGTCAAATAGTTGAGTTTCACAATATACTGGAGTCATAACGTCATCATTAGGAAGATTTAATCGAAAAATAAAACAAACTTACTGATTATTTAATTTACGTACTACTTCACGATTATGCATTGTCTCTTTACGCAAGCGATCCACTTCATTTTTCATAGTATTAATTCGATTACTACCAGCTTCTAAATGGTATAGAAGATAATCCTGTACAGGAGAGAACAAATATCGTAAGAAATGAGATAATCAATTGAATAAGCAAGAATAAAAACGAGTATACACCCCCATATTGAGTAAAAATAAGAAGACATGATACGAAGTAGAACCTGCATTCTACAAGCATCCAGTAAGTACGAGGTCCGAATCCAGAAGAGAATCAGGATCCCGGACTAGGGATCCGGGACCGCGTCCTGGTCATAAAACGTTACAGATAATGCGTATTTATACACTTAGGTTGAATAGGAAACAGAATCGAAGTCTGTGACATTGACAGTTAAAACGACCAATAAGAAGCAACATTTGAAGTGACATTGATAGTCAAGACAACCAATAAGAAACAACATTGGGGCACGTGACATTGATATCTAGGACGACCATAAAATTGACCAGTAGGAATCAACCAATAGGAATCGATCAATAATTCTTTTAGGATATTGAATGAGTATCATAACAGGTGAGAACTTCAAATAATTACTAAAATGCTGATGCCATAGCTGATGAATATTCAGAGAGAAGAAATTCCTGATTAAGGTAACATTCTTTGGAAATGGTATATATACATATATCGTGAAAAAAGAAACTGATATTGATGATCACAACTTACACGTATTGTTCCAACATTACAACAATGTTCCGGGTCAGTATCACACAATAAATGTAGAACAACAAGTGGTGATGCCAAATTTAATTTGTCCACTTCTGTACACATTTTCAAAAATAAAAATTGCCACAAAGAAATCATTGATAAGAAGAAAACAACGGATTGCAAAATTAGAGAATATTTTGACAGATTACTGTCAATATAATTATTAGTAATACATATTTATACAAAATGAATGAGATTTATTTTGAAGAATATTCAGATATCAATAGACTAATTAAAGATAAGTTTGTAATGGATAGGATCAATTGATGATGATAAGTAATCGCCTTTCGAAAACATTAGAGTGACAGTTCAGTACACAGTCAACGTAATAGATACGAAGTTTCAAGCAGTCTACAGATACAGCAAGATTTGAATCAGTGCTTTTGTGATGTAGCTTATAGCTTTATCTAAACGAGCATTTATGTTAGAGGTCAATCCTTAATCATTTAGCTACATTTTAAGACAGATTCTAAGACAATTGAAAGTTATCGCTGTGGAAATAATTTTTAAACGAAGCTTTGCTAAACACCAATACTACAATATAAGCCAATGAAGTTAAACAGTGAACAGTAATAAAACAAGAGCGACCTATTATTATGATCACATGGTGTAGTGAATGAGAACACAGGTGGAGGCAACCGAATTGCATTTAACGAAAATTACGGAGTTACTCAGTAAAATCGGAAAACCATTTCGTAAATCGTTCATTTGCAAAAGATCAGTTCATCTTATGGAACTGGACTGTTCCTGTTGCCAAACATCAATCCATTGTCACTCTTCATGCGTTTCATACAAAGTCCATTGTTTTCTGACTCTTCCTTTCTTGATCTTCCCCCCATATTATGCTACCAGACTTTACATTGACACTCACGCTATATACTACTTATAAGTAGTTCGCACCACAGCACCACAATGGAATGTCCGCACAGTGTGGTAGAATGAAAGAACTATGGAAGTAGATGAAGAAATGAAGACATACAATTCCACAGTGCTTGAAATAAGTGCAACTCATTGGACAGAGGTTCGACAAAAAGAATTAGCTTCAGGAGAGATGCTGTTGCATTCCAATAATCATTAAGAATAAAATGCTTGGGACAAATAAACAGTTACACTGATGCTGTCCATATATAAACGCGAAAACATTATCAGGATGCTAATAGCATGGACTGAGGATCAACAAAGCATCCTTCAATACAAAGAACGGATACTGGCATGTTCTACGAATTCAAGATAGTTTTCTGCAATGACTTCCAACCTTTCCACCATCTACTCAATGGATAACAAGTCGAAAGGGAAAAAGGAATCAATAACTTTAGTACCTCATCAGTTTTTCGGTGACAAGGGGCACCATCATAATGAATGAATGCCTTTTGATACTCTAGATAAGATACAAGACTGAACGAGAGCAGATAAAGCCGAAGAACAGACTGAATATAAAAAGCCCTTCTTCTTTCTTCTGGCGATTGACTGAAAAAGAAGCAGAAACTGTCTGCGTGTCTCGGTAGTTTCAATGATAAACAAGGTGGATCCGATGCAGATGTGAAGGAACGATCGGTAGAGCAAGGGCAGCATTTCTAAAATCGAGAAATATTTGTGACTCAAAAGAACTGTCAGTCAAAACCAAAGTCGAAACTTGCAACACTAAGGTCAAAACAGTTTAATTATACAAAACTGAAACCTGTCGTTGGTTGCACCTTTGTTTAAAATTTAAGGTCAACAGCAACCAATCAAGATTGAAGTTAACAGAACAAGCTACATGGAGAAACTCGAATGCTTCCCTTCCATCAGAAATTTGTGCTGATGATATTGTTCAGAAGAACAATGAAAGCTTCACAACCAAAACATTCCAGCTCAGAATGAAACATTACCACAATCATCCACCTGAGCTACAAATTTTCCTCACCATCTCAAGTGAAGTTGGAAAATAGAGCAATTATTCATTGAATGATTAAATAAATAAAAATAGAACTCACGATCGATAACTCGTTTCAGAATATCGGAATGTTCCGGTTTATGTGCGTAGTAAATTAAAGCAGTAAGCCATAAATTAGGCATTTGATCACTAAACAAATTTAAAAGCATAGACAATTAACTATCAATGATCCATACATACACTGAGAGATAATCTCATACACAGATTGATTTATCATCTTGAAGAGAGTGAAAAACAAAAATTGGTTTCAGAATAAGACGAATTCATTTGATCACGCTGCTCAGAATCTATAATATTTTAAAATCAAAGTTATCATAGAGACTGACGTAAAGAGTTGGTCTAACTGGTGTGACGTATTTGCATTATATATTTCCAACAATCTGGTCACATATATACTTGTCAAGATATTTTACATGAAAATTAATGAAGGTCAATTGAATAAAAGTTCAAACGAACAGAAAGTGATAATTGCAAATAAAGGATAGAAAGAATAGGATATTGTCGAACTATCCTTGATCATAAAATAGCTTGAAGATTACTAGAGTAAATTCAAGATTACGATGAACCGTTTCTTCATATATTAGAAGGGTTTGAATTTGCTAAAAGCCAAGGTTTCTATAAACTTAATAATTCCTCCTTGACAATTTCTATAGAATATTTCGATTCTACATTTCATTTCAATTATGCACTTTGCCATCGATGAACATAGTCTTCTACTTCTCACGTTTATATCAGGTCATTTGACACTAACTGGTTTAGGAGCTATCTAGGCACATGTTCCCTAACCCTTGATTGCATTGTCCGATTATTCCACCATATGTATTGATATGTCCACACAAACATGTAAATTGAAAAATGCACCGGGATATGACGTAATTGTTTGTGCAGTGTCTAGGCCTATGTGAAATCATAAGTGCTACATCCGAATGAAGATTGAAGTGAATAGGAACTTAAGTAACCAATTTATAGACTATTGATGCATATAATCTAATTGTATAAATGTTAGTAATTAACTAGACTATAATGTATGTATATTCCTTTTATCATAAACTTTCTATTAACCCATAAATTATTAGCCTACGATTCACTGTCCCTATATAGTCAATAGTTTATTATTTAGTCTCTCCTTACTCACAGCCACTTTTGGCTCACTCATGCATAGTTGGTAATTACCATTTATTGGTACGATGTGGTCTGGTTTTGTGTGTATATAAAGGAATGCTTAAAATATAGTAATGAATCTTAGACTGGTAGTCATCGATCTTTGTTCCTTTTCTTCGGTTGGGGAAAGTTAGTATTGGACCGCCCTTTGATTATGGAGTAGCTAGTCCCCGTTTTTATTTCATAGTGGTTATTCAAAGGCCCTTTACCCATTGGTTAGTGAAAAGGACACAACAGATTTAAACCGCTAGTTCGGTGCTCTGGAACTTTTCCACTCCAACTTTACTGATTTTGAAAAAAATGTTTTTTATGACCTTAACAACTTGAAATATTCGCTACATCATGATATATATATTCATCTCTATGATAACTTTAATTTTAAAATATTATATGTTGTAGAAATGAAATGAATTTTATGCTGCACCAATCTTTTTTTTCTGCTTTCTTCATGAAAAATAATTATTAAGAACAGCTATCTGATGAAGAAAACGGAAGAGTTGACAGGTAAACTATGAATGAAAAGTAAGGAACATGTTAATCACGGAGAACATTTTCACCATACTGTGAAGCTGAACTTTTAGTCTTTAGGATAAATATGAGCGTAAAATCAATCGTTAAAAGATTTATTTAGGGACCCAAATTTTAAATAAAACTTCAGAAACGTGAAGTACTATTAAATATATCCGACAAATTTGGCTAACAGTTACTGTTCAAATCAAAATGTGGTTACTTAATTATACATAATGTAAACGTTTTTATACTTCCACCTGCAAAAAAGCCAGAATAATATTACAGTCAAGAACTAAGCCTAACAATCAGGTCTTAATTGTTTGGAGAGCGAGTGACATATAAAACTATTTCTTCCGATTGCCTACATCACTAATTTAACACGCCATATTTTGTGTCGGCGACCTATGCTACACTAAGGGCAACAGGCGTAAGTGAGTTATCTTGTAACCAGTGGTTTTAACTTTAGTTTTCAATCATTCAGAGGTCTGGGTCAAGTAATACGGTCCATCGGGCAGCTGTTTACTTGGCCACATAATGTTATAGCATCTCAGTGATTGATGAGCACACTACTCATTGACCTGACAGCCAAAAATTCGTCCGTCATTTGTGGAATCCGAATGAATTCACAACATGAAATGATTACAATGGGTAGACCAGGTGAAGAGTATCTCACAAGAATTGTACATCTTGATACTTAAGCAGCCAAGTAAGAATCGCTAAATTATGTATGCAGAGGTAGTAAGTATTATCAGTAAGCTAGAAAGAAGGAAACTGCCACGTTATGTATTAAGTAATATGCTAAAATAAACTCGTAACTACGACTTTTACTGAAAATCAGTACTTCAGATTATCAATTTAGTCAATGTTATCTAACATAAAATTAGGCAGCCCAATAATCATTAAAGTTGCTTAAGTATTGGAACAACTGGAAGAGATATTATACACATCCGAAAAAAAACACAAATATATTTAAAATCGTAATGACCTACCCATAATCTTCACATACAGCTATGATCTCCTGATTCATATCTTGTGAAATGTAATATCGAAGCATTTGATCATATCTATGTGATAAATTTAGAACATACTGTCATGTATTCAGAATAAAGAAAACTTACAATTTTTGTTTCCTCCATAAATATATACAACCTTTGTAGAATTGGCGTCGATAACAAAGTACCAAAGCTTTCTTTTCATCGTAATTAAGCTATTGTAAAACAAAAAGAGATAGTCGGTAATTTAAAAATAATATCACACATCAACACCAAGTATCTGATTAAGTAAAAACTTTGAAAATAGTAACCTGAACTTATACGATAACCATCATTGTATCGTGAAATATTCCATTCAGTTTGGTTGTGCAGAGAAGTGATTACTAAGTTTATTCCTATTCAGTTGATTGAAACAGGGCATTAAGTTGACATGAATAGAATCCGATGTATTCTAGCAAATGTACTGTAAGGTTCATAGGCTTGCCATTTGTATACTGCAGAAGCTACAGGACATTCATAATTGAAAAATTTATCCATTGAACTCAAACAAATTTTGCACATGATGATATGATACAAAGTAGAAGCTAATTGGAAAATATGGTAAACCAGAAGACAAACCAGTCATTGACATTCAACAATGGTGAAACAGGTGGGCAGAGAACTCTGAAAAACTCTTGAATAGATTAGCCTCATCGAACACAGTGATTATCGAAGTAGCACGCATAGACCTTTCAACTGATGTTAACCCACCAGCAACCGAAAAAATCAGCATGGTCATCGGATAAATCAAGAGTGGGAAAGAAGAAGGACCAGAAAATATTCCAACTGAGGCATTGAAACAGACATAGCAGTAACTGCAAAGATAGTCCACGGTCTGTTCAGCAAGATTTAGGAGAAACAACATGTACCCTGTTATGCTCGTCTCTAGGTATGCTTAAACTATTACGAGTTCACCTTAGACGAATAACGAGAACAAACAATGAACCAGCGTCCAGGTAGGCTACCTTGATCCCTTGACCAAATTGTACAAGCAAGAAGTCTTGATATAGCGTAGAAATTGTATTCTACAAACACCCAGCAAGTACATTGATCTCAAGCACACACATTTCGTTTATTTATACATCATAGAAATAACACAGTAACCAATCAGAGCTAAGGCTTTTCCTGGTGGGAAATGTGATCTCAAGGTCAACTAATCAGCCCATGAATAAAATCCGAAATAAAGACATTTATCAAGCGAGTTCTGGGGATCCAACTTCCCCAGTGACCCACAACCTGGAAAGAAGGACACCCCATTAAGATATTAAAGGAGATCTCAGAAAGCATGAGAACTATAGAGGTATCATTTTACTCTCAATACCAGGAAAAGTCGTTTTTGCTGAATAAAAAGGAAGATTAAGTAGACGACCAACCTACGGATAGATAGGTTTGAATGTTACTTACTCCCACCGTTTGTATTTCTCCTGGTGTTTGACTGGTTTATTAATACATAAAAATTTGGGAGGAAGCGCGGGATACTGTGGACAGCTCGGATGCAGCTGAATGGTTTGGATTCCGCAGATAGTGTAGCTCTTCTATCACACATAACAACAAATGCAGATCAAGTGTAACAGCAGCAGGAGAGAGCAAGATCCTCTAATAAAACACAGGATGGATCAACCGAATCACACTTGACGAAGAAGCTTTGGAATACGTAGAGACCTTTACATACCTGGGAAGCATTATTGGTAAACAAGGTGGATCTGATGCGAATATAAAGACGCGGATTAGCTAAGCAAGGTCAGTATTTCTGAAGTTGATGGACATTTATAACATCTACCTGTAATCTAAAGATAGTATGGAGGTGATCCACACGGTATGTACATATATGCCAAAGACACTGATCGATTTCAGTTCTAAACATCAATGAGAAGATTCAAACAACCAATGAAAAATGAATTATCAAGTATATTAACAATTGTATGTGAGAATGCCTTGTAGTATCACGCATGAATAGATACATTATTAATTCATGGAGATTAGATTTGACTTAAAAATCAATGAAAAAAGTATAACAACGATTTTACAGATCATAATTAAATTGCAACGACAAAATTAACAGCAAAACATTACATGGTGGTAAATTTACTTAGAGAAATAAAATGGCTAGTTGAAACTAACTTCACTATTTGATAATAATTGCATTGCCATTTCAAATAATTGATCTGATTCTTTATTGGTTGTCAATGAATCAGTTTTCAATCGATTTGCTTCATATAACAATAATTCTAAAAATGTATCCACAACTCCTGGAACTAATTTAGAAGGTGAAGCCGTCTTGAATTTAGAAGGAGAAAGAAAAAAACAAGATGATGTGGCATGAAGTACATTCTAGAAAAACAACACAATCAAAATTTGGGGACAGTTTAAAAGTTATGATATGGTGAATTCAAATGATGGGTCTCGACTAAGAATAAACACACGTCCAACATTCCATTTATATTCTATAAAATCTATATACATTTGATGAGAGTTGAACGAAAGTATCGTAGGTCAGTGATGGTTTCACCTTGACATCGTGGTCAGGCTTGCCTATCGCGATGATCCAACCGAGCTATATTGGTTGGAACATAAGTTCCTGTACGGTGTACCATGCCAGACAGGTCGATTAGGCACATGTTTAGATTTATATCATATTTGTTTCCGACTTATTGGACGTAGGAAAGGCACTGCAAAAAAACTTTTACAGTTCTATCTAATGATAGTACAGCTAAGAACATATTTCAGGAACAACTAGAGAAACAGTTAGGCGACCATGTAAATGATTCCCATCCGGAGGTAGCTTGGAAGGATATCAAAAAAGCTGTGAATACAGCAATGATATCTGCTAGTAAGGTACACCATAAGGCTAGGAAGAAGCCGTGGATCTCAGTAGAATCCACCGAACGGATAGACGCTCGTAAACTCATCCCATAATGAAGAGCGAAGTCAGCTCAAGCGCATGCTGATAAGAAGCCTACGCAATGATCGAGAACAGTGGTGAGTAGAGAAAGCAAGAGCGATGGAAAAAGTAGCGGCAATAGGCAACAGTAGGCAAATATTCAGACGTATCAAAGAAACCGGTATTAGTAACTCATCTGTTAGCAAAACTATCTCAGAAAAGGATGGGCATATGATTCATTCTCAACCCAGGAGATTCGATCGATGGACAGAATGACTGACTTTTCAGAGTGGACCTTCTACCAGGAGGATCGCTTGCTGACTTAGAGTACGCTGATGGCATAGTCCTATTTAGTGAAGACGCTAAAGACATGGAGAGTCTTCTGACTACCCTAAGCAACAATGCAAGCATGTTCGAGGTGCGGTTTTCCACTTCGAAATGCAAAATAATGCATCAGAATTGGGTTGCATCGGCACCTGAACTAGTGAAAGGGAGTAACTGCTTCACTTGTCTGGGTAGTCTGATCAGTGCTGATGGCCTGTTGACTGACGAAATCTCAGCACGGATACAGAAAAATCAATTGGCTTTTGCCAGTTTGCGTCACTTATGGAGTAGGCGAGACATCCGTTTGCTGACTAAACGACGAGTGTACTGCACAGCAGTTCGCTCTGTCCTACTTCATGGCTGCAAAACATGGCCGTTAAGAGTGAAACACATTTGTACGTTATTAGTATTCAATAATAGATGTCTTCGAAGCATTGCTCGCATATCCTGGGACAGCCGAGGAAGCGATGCTGTCATCGGGAAAAGAGTACTAGGTAGAGATGGCAGATCAATTGATGAAGTAATGAATCTTCATCAGATGAGGTGATTGGGACATGTGTTACGAATGCTAGACTACCGACCGCCTCGACGAGGTAGTAGGTTGGAATAAAGCTAGGGACGGCCAGATCAAAACATGGCACAAATCCATGAAGTAACTGACAAGTGGATTCAGTCATGTTGGTAAGTGCAGACTACCTGGTTGGAGCCCGCGAGATGATAATAATCGATGGTTAGAGACCGTGAAAGACATGGCTCAAAACCGTTTGCAATGGCAGAGGTGCATTCATTCATTATGTTCTCTGAAATCCTAACCTTCAGAGTTCCTCATCACCTTCATCTTTTACTTTTTAAGTTTATTTCACTAGATTGTACTTCTGGGATAATATCTTCCAACCCTAATATCCCCGAATACTACAGATACTTCTACCAGCTCTATTACTGTGGGATTTGAATTGACAATTTCATCTATGTGCTAATGTGGTATGGCAACTTGAACTGACGTACGTGCGTACAGATTTTTACGTTGTAATTGACTGACTGACTAAGTAGTAATCTGTTTAATTTATAGAAAACGTGGATAGATTTTACCCTAATTCATTACCATACACTTCAGAAAGTCTATAACTTAGAAATTTATAAAAATGAGCAACCATCACTTCGTTTGTAAAAGACCACCAAACTTTGATGCAATGGAATCACGTTCTACTACTCACTGATTCAATAAAGATATGCTTATTTGGCTTTATCTAAACTTATTAGCTATCTTTACCAGGGGTGATATTTTCACTTTGAATCTAGTAGATAAACGTTAAGTGTTCAAATTCTCAATCTATAGCCCTATACAGGATACAATTAATAAAAATTACCTATTACACTTTTTTTGGATGTAACACTAGTATCATATCCTTACGCCTGTATTTTGTTGATCAGCGATTGACAATAAATGCTGCCATCTATGTTAACAGTAAGTTAGTCAATTACAACGTAAAAATCCGTACGCACGTACGTCAGTTCAAGTTGCCATACCACATTAGCACATAGATGAAATTGTCAATTCAAATCCCACAGTAATAGAGCTGGTAGAAGTATCTGTAGTATTCGGGGATATTAGGGTTGGAAGATATTATCCCAGAAGTACAATCTAGTGAAATAAACTTAAAAAGTAAAAGATGAAGGTGATGAGGAACTCTGAAGGTTAGGATTTCAGAGAACATAATGAATGAATGCACCTCTGCCATTGCAAACGGTTTTGAGCCATGTCATTCAGGGTCTCCAACCATCGATTATTATCATCTCGCGGGCCCAAACCAGGTAGTCTGCATTTACCAACATGACTGAATCCACTTGTCAGTGACTTCATGGATTTGTTCCATGTTTTGGTTTGGCCGAAAATAATGAAAACAACAAAGCTTCATTACATCAAGTATATAAACAACGAACAGAATAAAATATTGAGCAGTAAAAAAATTCTACTGAAAGCGAGGAATAAGGGGAAGGTTACGACAAAAGAATACATTTATCTGTAAGCCAGTCAGCAGAACATATTGAGATAGTCAGTCGGTACAACCGCTTGAGGATTGACGGTCAAGTTCATTCATTCGTTATTAGTTCAACTACATACTTTAACATCTCGACTCAACAATATTCACTCGGTGGTTCCAACATAAACAAACACTGATTCAAAAAAAAACGCATCTATGCCCCTAGTTAAAAACGAACTAGGATTCAGTGTGCATGTTGTACAGCAATAAAAATGTTACAATAAGAACTTGCCAGAAAACACTGAACTCTGTTGAATCTCATGCTTAAAAATTTTTCACTAAATAATCAAGTCGTTAAAAAAAAAACAACATACAAGTAAGTATGTTCTTACACTGACTGTTTCGTGTTAACAGCAACACAAATATAACCATGACAAAAAAAACAACAAACAAAACAAAAAAAAATACTTACATTGATATAACGATTAAGAAACTGCATTAAACCTTTCGGATTATTGATAAACACTTTTAAAAAGTGTTGTACATTGATTCGACTAGCATCTATATACAATAAACCAAATATAATTGTTCACAGGTTAAAAAAAAATATACAACAATAGACAAAATCGAATGACAAATTAATTCACTCAAAATATATTCATGATAATTTCATCAATAATAATAATAGTAAAAAACGAATTTTTTTCCTTTTTAAGGGTTTTGACTAGTGTTATTACTCTCTATGTGAAAATGAATGATTGATTAATAAAAGGCAAATACCAAAGAAACAAATTAAATTATCCATAAAAGTTAGTCTATTTAAGAATAAATGGTTGTAACAAAAAAAAGTGAGATGATTAATTTAAAACTGATTTATTGATGATTCATTTATATATATATATATATATATATATATATATATATATATATATATATATATATAGTTTGAAATGAGTTATTTGTAAGCTTTAGAAATAGAAAATGAAATTTTTTTTATTGAATATTTTCAACATTAGTTTTAGAATGTAATCAATTATATTAGAATAGTTACTCATAACACTTGGAACATCGATTACAGTTTCCACAGCAAATCGAGATGAAAATTCCAGGATAATAAGACGAAGTAGTAGAAGAAGTGACAGAATAAGTAGTTGTCAATCAAAATCTAACAGGAACAAAAGTAAATGAACTGGTGCTATGGCAACTAATTGAGAAATCTAGTCCATCATCTCTAACGACGATCCCAACCAGCCACTCTGTAAGTGTCGACACAGCTCAATCAAACAATTGATGGCTTTCAAAAAATTATGTTCTGTCTAGAAATGACAACTCCTTAGCTTCCTCTTTTAACCTAATCCTAATATTAGCAGAAATTCGCCCTTAGAACCTTCGGGGCTACGGCCGGACCCAATCCCGGATAAACGACGAGGGGTTGACGGCCAAATCGCACCAAGAAACTAACTGGCCAAAAAAACGCCAAAACGCAAAAATAAATCAAACCATTTTACCTTTGCCCTGGGAGTTGGAAGAAGAATTATGACGTCTCGTGATGGTAGCCGAGTTCCCTCGGAAGTTACGGGGCCGATGCCTCTTCTGACAACCAGAGCAACTATTCTTTTAGGTACATGGAACGTTCGAACATTGTGGGAGGCTGGAAGACTATTTCAAGTTGCTGCAGAAATGAAAAGATACAACCTCGAGGTGCTCGGCATCAGTGAAACGCATTGGACGCAGGTAGGGCAACTGAGACTAGCTTCAGAGGAACTGATGTTATACTCCGGCCAAGAATAAGAGAAAAATGATTCACATACACAAGGAGTTGAACTGATGCTGTCCAAACAAGTATAAAAGGCACTGATAGGATGGCAATCTCATGGAACCAAGGATCATCAAAGCATCCTTCAAAACAATATTCCCGCACAAACTCATACACAAAGCTACATGGATTTCACCGGATCACACTCCTCAAAGCCAAATCGATCATATCTGTATCAATAAAAAGTTCAGAAGGACAATCGAGGATGTGAGAACAGGGAGAGGACTTTGTAGACACCCAACTACGAGACCAACAGGCTGGATTTCGTAAGGATCGATCGTGTACTGACCGAATTACTACATTACGGATCATTGTGGAACAATCAATTGAATGGAACTCACCACTCTACATCAACTTTATCGACTACGAGAAGGCATTCAATAGCGTGGATAGGAAAACACTGTGGAGGCTTTTTCGACACTACGGTGTGCCTGAGAAAATAGTTAACATCATACGGAATTCTTATGATAGATTCAACTGCAAAATCGTGCGCGGAGGTCAGCTGACAGATTCGTTCGAGGTGAAGAGCGGTGTTAAGCAAGGTTGCTTACTCTCACCCTTTCTCTTCTGGTGGTTGACTGGATCATGAAGACGTCAGCATCTGGAGGGATGCATGGTATCAAATGGACAGCTAGGATGTAGATGGACGATCTGGACTTCGCAGATGACCTGGCTCTTCTATCGCACACGCAACAACAAATGCAAGAGAAGACGACCAGTGTAGCAGCAGCCTCAGCAGCAGCAAGTCTCAACATACATAAAGGGAAAAGCAAAATTCTCCGATGCAACACAACATGCACTAATCAAATCACTCTTCATGGAGATGCCTTGGAGGAAGTTAACACCTTTACATATCTGGGCAGCATCATCGACAATCAAGGTGGATCCGATGCAGATGTGAGGGCGCGGATTGGCAAAGCATTTCTGCAGTTGAAAAATATCTGGAACTCCAAACACCTTTCAACCAAAACCAAAATCAGGATTTTCAATACAAATGTCAAGGCAGTTCTACTGTATGGAGCGGAAACTTGGAGAACTACCAAAGCCATCATCCAGAAGATACAAGTGTTTATTAACAGTTGTCTAAGCAAAATACTTCGGATTCATTGGCCAGACACCATCAGCAACAACGTACTGTGGGAGAGAACAAACCAGATTGCAGTGGAGGAGTAAATCAGGAAGAAGCGGTGAAAGTGGATAGGAAACACTCTGCGGAGAGCACCCAACTACGTCACAAGATAAGCCCTCACATGGAACCCTCAAGGTCAAAGGAAAATAGGAAGGCCAAGGAACACATTACGCCGAGGAATAGAGAAAGATATGAGAGGAATGAACAACCATTGGACAGAACTGGAGAGGGAAGCCCAGGACAGAGTTGGTGGGATGAAACTGGTGGGCGGCCTATGCTCGATTGGGGGTAACATGCGTAATTAAGTAAGTAGGTAAGGTTTTTAAACTACCTAACAGAAATATTTAAAAGGGGAATTGGAAATCGTGAGAATAACGTTAGGAGCTAGTAAGATACTGAGTGAATTGATGTTTGATTACTTACAACTTTGTTAAGTTAACAGTAAAATTTATGAATCCGAGTTAGGCAGAGAAAAACGCAGAACAACATAGAGGAACAAAGAAAATGATGATCAACTGTCAGATTGACTGTAACGAATAACCGTTAGATAGAAAACAGAAACTTTTTTTGATAAAGTAACAACAAATAAACATGGTTTCAATTGGACGAACATGTGTGAGAAATCAAACTTACTATTTGGTCCCCTACAAACGTCTATAAAAGTAATATGTAATTATATTACTGGATAAAAGGTACTAAAACAACAACAACAACAGAAATACCGCCATCTAAAGAAACCTTGAAGGTGGAAATTACAATCTGTTACGCCTACACGTAAACACGTCATTTTGATATACTTGAACTATTACGAGTTTACCTAGTCGGAAAAACGAGAGCGAGGATCGAGGATCCGGCGACACGACATGCTACCCATATCCGATTATCCCAACCCCTCATGTTGAGTAAAAATAAGAAGACATGATACGAAGTAGAACCTGTATTCTGCAAACAAACTTCAAATGCATTAGATAACAGTTAAACAACTGCTAATAAAACTTAAAACAGATCCATTCCAAAGCTAGCCTCTTTTAACAGATTATTACTTCTTATCCTTCATATATTCTAATAATTGGTAGTAATACTACTTAGTATTCGTTCCTATTATTTTTGAGTGACTCTTTGCAACACTGTTCTAAAGAATGATATACGGACAGAGAAATGCATACATTTTTGAAGTCTTACAATGATTTTATTAGGGGGTGTAGGAAGGATTTGATTTCGACCAATTCGGCCTCGCGTGCTATACGGGTATGAGGGCGGTTGTCACTTTGCGGCTGCCCACATCGTGGAAGGTTGTTTCCTGAGGGACCTGAAAAGAAAGATAAATTAGTGTTGGTCTAAGAGACCTGGGTGCGTGACCGCAGAGCCCAAGAGACAACTGCTTGAGGCCAGGCACGCACGGCCTTTTTGTGAAGGGTTTTTTGATTATTAGCTCCGCTCCTGAAAGCCCTTAGTGGGCACCCTTACACAAGGAGACGGAAATCCGTGAGTTAGGGGAGGTGTGACATTTTTAGGGCCGACCTTTTCTAACCCTTCCTTCCTTCTTTGTGAGAAGGCTGCATCGCTGCAGATGCTGGTTGTCCGAGGGAAACACCTTACTGCTGTCACACCCCTCTGCAGTCAGCAGTACGACTTCACCCTCAGACCTTGGGTAGCTGCTTTTAGTCTCATCGTTCTCCAATCAACCTGCTTGGCATGGTAGGACCCTCAGGAATATATGTTCCAGGCAGTATAGCTCGGTTGGGTCGTGACGATAGGCAAGCCCGACCACCACGTCAAGGTAGCAGCTACGGTCGGAGGTCTCCAAGACCGACACTAATCCATCCACCTTTTCAGGTCCCTCAAGAAACAACCTCCCACGGTGTGGGCAACCGGGAAGTGACAACCGCCCTCATACCCATAACAGCACACGAGATCAAATTGGTCACAGTCAAATCCTTCCTACATTCCCTAACAGCCAGTATAGCTCGGTTGGGTCATGACGATAGGCAAGCCCGGCCACCTCGTCAAGGTAGCAGCTACGGTCGGGGTCATAATCTCCATATCTCTCCTTCTAAATTTATCTCACTGAATATAAAATCTCAAATTGGAATCAAATAAAATACCAAAAATGTCAACAGAAAAAGTCCGTCATGTCATAGCAAAAATATGTAAACATGGAGGGATTTTCCAAAACACAAAACATTCAAAAAGGATTCTACACAAGTTTTGGATGAATGAATGCTGTATACAAAGTTCAGAATGTCTTAGCAGGCACATGGCTACAGGCTGACCTAGCTTGTATAAGCGTCTAAAGGTTTGGCTTTCGACACTCCGTGTATGCGTCTTTTTAATAAAATAATTTCTTCAAATTAACCATCTCTTATACAAAACACTAAAACGAAACATATTGCTTGATAAATATAAGTGCTTATAAGCAACAGGAATTTCCGATCGTAAACCGAAAATCGGACTTAAGATGGCAACTAATATTAACTAACAATTATACTTGTTCTCAAGGTAAATTACATGATAAGAGTTCTAGCATTCGCTCACTTGGTAGTCAGAAGTACTTCGTGATGCGAGATAATATTCCTCCTAATTCATGGGTAAAATTTGAACTATAAGTCTCTCAATTTTTCATACAGTGGAATGACGAAACATTACATCATAGATGATCTCCGGTCTGGTAGAGTTTCTGGCTGCTGGCATCCAGAAACCCTACTGCCCTGAAACAAACGTTTTCATTCAAATCCCGAGACATGCAAACTCACAACCAACTGCCAACTGGCTAGAATTAGACAGTCGAGTAGCTAGACCTCCATCCATTGGACATTACCGAACACATGGAACCGTACCGACAAAACAAGAATCGAGCGCAAAGAAATCAGCTGGTTTACACTAGCTCGTGAAAAAGATATTGGATATTGGATATCATTTCGTGACGAAAACAGGAATCCTGATTTGACAAGTCCAGCCTAAGTTTAGTAAAAAATTCTAATTTTTTAGTATCATATCAAATCTCAATCTTATTTCTTAGGCTTTAAGTAAAACCCCGGAAATACCAACTGATGGTTTGTAACGCAGTTACAATTAGGAAAAAACCTTGGGTAAACCTACAGAAACTGTATGGTTTCCCAACTCGAAAAGATTCACCCGAACACAAAGTCAGATTATTAGCAATTGCAAGCTAGATCAAAATATACAGTGTTTCATTTAACTAAGCCAAATGTATGACCTTTTGAATGAGTGTAAATTTGTGCATTTTCAAATACAGTAATCGGTAGGAGTGGTTCTGTTTACCTCTGTGAGTTGTGAAATCAATTGTCTTATAAATTTACGTGCCTCTCTTTAGGTTTGAATTATGTCTCTCAGGTTATATATAGTTAGATAATGTTTAGAATTTTTTATTATCCGCGAAAGCAACAGTCGGATTCCAGTGTGCAAACTGTATTTGCTTTTAATTGGTTTTGTTAAGATTGACTCATCTTTCATGGCAATCATCTTTGAAAATATATTGAAAGGCTTATTGCTGTTCACCTAAATGTGTACTTATTTCTGTCATTGGGTAGACAAGTTCCATCTTAAATTAAGAGCAGTCGCGAACACTCCTAATTTATTGCTAGTAGCACAACTACTTTGTCGATTTAATGAGTGGTGGTAAAACAGTAATTACTTAGAAAGGCTTTTGTTCAGTAGACATTACAATGCTTCATTAAGTCACAGTGTAATAACAATTAATGACTTGTCATCTACAGCATAAACCAATATCTACATCATGAATGTCTAAGCCAATAATTATTCAAGTAGCCGATAGCTAATACAGTTATCTATCTCTTTCGAAAAAAATAATAAACAACTCAATGTTTGAATAGCTTTTCTTATGAAAATGGAAATCAAAACTAAAAACTGACACCAGCCAAACGACGTCCCTTCTTGATAGTCTCGAACAGAATATTGCTTCACCTTCCGAAACTTTCTTATTTGGCTCAGATTTTTAGTAATTATGAAGCTGATGAGCCTGTGATGGCAGCTCCACACTTATTTTTCTGCAAACATTACTTGATATTGAATACTTTCGAATGCTCTTCAATCTTCAGCATCCTCTGCTCATTATCCTTTCAGTACTAGTAAGTTTACTACAAATCTTATTGACTACGTGTCACATTTTGAAGAAAAAAACTATGGTGAGATCTAATTCAATCAGAGCTAGAAATCCATGCAACTGACTTCCTCAAAAAGTGTTAACAGAGCAAAACAAAATATACAGTATGAAATAAAGTCATCCTGTTTAAAGGCTTTTTATCTACAATAACGTAACATAACGTAATTATCCACTGGCATTCATTTATTGAGTTAAATTTATTTTCATTCGTAAACGAGTAACCAATGAATCATTTGTTCAGCTTTGTATCAAAAATGCCATAATTATATACGTATTATGATTTCTTATCTGTTATCTGTCGTGTTTTCGTTCTATAAATATATAAATGCATAAGTTACGGTATGAAATGTATAATCTTGTCAAGTCTGAAATCGACTCATTAGGTTGAGTCAGAGCTTATACCAAACGATAATCAGAATCACTATTTTTGAAGTTTCCTGCTGGGTTATGTACTATGCTTTTTGCATTGTTTCTTCACAAATTTAATCTCACAAACCCCACCTTCATTAAACCTTACAAAATTTGAGGGTTCATTTTTCAGCTTAGGATAAACAAATAATATGTTCTCATTTGAAGGCTATGACGAAGTTGAGATTTATTTTACCTCATAGGGTTATAATACCACTATATCTGGGATGTTTTTCTCCTTCTGAATGCAAGATGTTGCATTAAGACTGGTTTTCATCACCCTTTAGATTGATCATACGGACTTAAGTAGTTCACTGCATCAAGCGAATTTAGTGCACAGAAGTCGGCTCTGCATTCAGCTTTGGCTGCAAGACATGGTTCATGGAAGCGCGATACTTGTGTGGACCTCCGTTATTTATCACAGCAGTCCCTAAAGCATTGAGTATCGTGAAACGACTAAAGGGTTTATGTGTAAGGTACTAGCGAGAGATGTAAAATCAATCGATGAAGAAGTGACTGTTCACCAACAGTGGGGGTTAGAAATTTGATATTTATCACTAAACACCTGTTTACTGTAGTAGAAGTTTGGAATAGGGCTGATAAAGTCTCTAGACCAAGATATGGTATCATTCCATAAAGCTACTGAATTTCTAATTTTTTGGTGATACGGATCAAAATCGGCCAGTAGAGCGGAAATTTTCACCCTTTATCTCACTCTAGAGATTAGGTTTAATTATTATTCCTTCAAGTATACTTTGCCATTTCGTCTTTTTGAACTACATTCTCAATGTTCATTCTCTTTCGTTACTAGTTTGATGATATTCGTTTCATTTCTTCGCCCATTTTTCTAATTTTACCTCGTATCGATGTGGCATATAAACTTACGCAAATTTGTTTTGATCTCTACTCGAATTATAGTTGAATGTTCTTATGCAACTGAATTTCATACAGAACTGTTGATCTGTCTGAGTACTGTACTGACTGAAAAACTGAATATTTCAAGATAGATGATCCTAAACATAAAATTTAGAACTTATGGTAAATAGTTATATGTGAAATTTCAAGTAAAGTATATCCTTACTCATATATAAATCTGGTTAAATATTATTTAGCATTTTATTCCTATCCATTTTAATGAGAAAAGTAATTTCGATTCGGCTCGTCAAAAGAAATACTTGGAATATAAAATTGGGTAGTTTGAAGAAGTTCGAGTGTTTAAATAATAATTAGTCTTAAAATCTAAAACTGATCAAACAACAATTTTTAATATGAGGCATTTTTCAGTATCTTATCGTTTTAAGAATTTATTGCTGTTTCCTATATGTTCACTTATAATAATGACCCTTGGTAAATAAGATAGGGAATTCGATGAGTGATTGACTTTACTATTGTTTTCGAAAAACGTCGAAGTATGAAAATTCTCATCCTTATTTTAACTAGTGTGATAATCTTTTTACTTTTCATTTTTGTTAATATTTTTAATAGGATTTATCTTAAATTTTGATCAATGTAAATGTTTAAATGTGCCTAGAAAGCTGCCTACATTATCATCCAAATTAGAATGCTAGTGTTTCTAAGGTAGCTTTCGTTGCTATCGCTCAATCTTCCAAAATGAAATCTAAATAGCAAATTTATTTGTTCTAAACAACTGGTTTATTCATGACCTCAATTATCCAACCGTCAACACAGTCCTCTTCTTTATCCTCGTTGTCATTTCAACCTGATGGTCTTACTAAAACAGTTCTACCCTTATTATCACCACAACAAATACACAGTTCAAGGAACACTCGACATGTTATTAGTTGTAATCATTCATGCCACAAATCTTCAATAAATGAAAGCTTACAGAATAATATGACACATTTACATGTAGTTAATCATCATTTATCTCGTAAACCAGAAGCTACTCCAACTAATATTCCAAAAGCATTACTTTTATCTCCACCACTGCCAATACGTCAAAGACCTGCCAATGCAGTAACATCACATGGTTATGTAAAAGGTTTACATAGTCGGTCACTATCTTCGGATCATTGTGAACGCAGTAAGTTACGTGAAACCTAATAATTATTTATCAACCTAAGTCAAGATTTGTATTTTATGTGTAAATACTATTTGATATTTAGATTTGTAATAAGTGGTTATTTAACGGTAGCTTAATAAAAAGTGATATACATATATATATTTACAGAATATCCCCAATGTTTTCTCTCACAGTAATGGATGGAGCTGACATAAAACCTAAAATTCCAACTCACTACCCTAAACATCATCAGGAGAGGTGGCAATAAGTCACTATGACCTATTTATGCCATATAAATAAAGGTTCTTTTACTCTTCGTTTCACTTGTTTTAATAAACATATTAATCAGATAGTTTATACAGTTTGAACTAAACAATGAACAAACCATTGTCATCGTGAATATAAGTTAAATGAAACATCACAACATAGCAAATGACTACATAAGAGTAACAAATATTGTACTTATCTTGAACGGTTAATGTATAGATGTTCATTAACTGATTCTCCAATAAAAATTTCATTCGAAACAATAACTAATATAATTTCAATTTTTAATGGGAAGTATAACACAACTTGGGGTTTATTACAATCTAACATCGATTGCATCGTGAAATAGGAATGTGACCTTGACCCGATCAATGATCAGGTATGCAACGCTTGACGTAGACAAACTTGAAGAATTTTAGTTGGACAATTTATTTTCTCAGTTTTAACACGATAGATACCGACTCAGTGGTCCTGATGGTTAGGCGTCCGCGCACAATACCGAAGGTCCTAAGTTCGAATCCTGCGAGGCACAGGAATCTTGGATGCACACTGCCACTGATGAGTACCATACCAGGACGAAACGGCCGTCTTTCAGTGCTTCCAGGTTTCTAATGGTGGTCTAACATTGATCGATCGATTCATGGTTTCAAAAAAGATATTGAAATGACATTTAAATTGTTCCTAGTTTTGAAACTGTCTTAATATTATAATGATTGCTGTAAAATACTGAATAATGTAATACACTTTCGTCGTGGTGTTTTCAGTAAAGATCTCCATACTGAATGTTGTACATGTTTTATGCATTCCGATAATTTTGTTTTGTATTTTCTGCATAAGAAACTGGCAAATCAATCCGTTCCCTATATGTTTTGGCGTATAAATTAGAAGGGAAAAAAATTGACAGAGATAGAAAATCACCCGATATTTAAAAACTTGGCTCAGTGCCAAAAAAAATCATTTTTGTTTTTGTTTATGCCTTCTTGTTAGATTTCATTCCCTTATAACAAATGAACCAATCAAATGTGAGATAAATATCCTTTCTGTATTGGATGATGATTATGTCCACTATCAATAAAATAAAAAGATATTTAAGTTTTATAGTGAATAAAAATCAGCTAGTTTCATATTTAGTGAATTCATCTTATTTTTCTGCTTTCAAAAGATTTAATGGTATTCGTTGAACTTTTTGCCTTAAGGATTGATCTCTTCTTTAGTTCATTGAATGAAGATGCTGCAAATAGTTGTGAAACATATTGAACGGCCTGAGTAATAGTATTGAATTATTATTATGGGTGTATAGTTAACTGTTTCTGTGAATTCAATGTCGTTAAAAAAGAATTTACTAAGTTGAAATCAAAATCTAATAGGGTCATTTACGTTTCGAAGATATTCATAGGACCCACTCAGTTAACACAGTCTCTTGGAACATTTAAAACTATCAATTTTGAGCCGGAAAAAAAATAAATGCTTGGAAATCAGGGATTGTTATTATCTATTGCGTTTGGAATTTCGACAGTTGTGTTAGTGCAACGATTTGGTAGATTTCAAATGAGCTGTTTGTAGAAACTAAAGAATAAGATAATTATATGATTCAATTTTAGATTTATTACTGATGACTGAATACATTCTAATTAGAGTATCCGTTTTGGGATCGATGTAACTGAAGGAGTTGATCATAAAGAAAACTGACACATATATGTCGACCCGATTTGCCACATCTGATATTAGCCTAGTGAATGGAGATAAACAAAATTAAAAGCATTTTAGTATGAAAAAAAGCTAGTTTGCAGTGCCTCCACATATATCCCAGTTCGCTTACATTTAATTCAGTTAAGCGCTTTCGATTAATTTATTAAACCAAGCAATTTGTACTTCAGCAATTTATATGTACCATTCGTTCCTATTATTGTCTGGTTTGTATGAGCTCACATGACGTGTCCCACTTGTCATTTGACCTTGTCAACCAATCGTCACTTTTATTCATGTGTGTGCATGCCTATCTCGTTGGTCACATGTCTGTCTTATCTTTGTCTGACTATGTATTCTTAGTCATGCTCTATTTCTACGATTTAGCTCACTAGCCTTCTCCAACGCGCTACGCCAGTTCGTTCGCTTTGTTCGCCCATTCGTTTGCATTGTAATCCTGGGAGTTGGCTCATTAGCCTTCCCCGACGCGCTTCTCCAACTCACGTCGCTTCGTTCGTTTTATTCACTGCTTCTCGGCCTCGCTTTGTGGTGTGTCCCAAATAAACGTATTCATCACTTCGAATTCACCTTCTGATTTATAAACCGTTAGATGCTAATAAGTAACGATTGTCTAGACGAGCTAATTACCGAGCTTAAGAACACACTTAAATCGGCACACTACAAATTAAGCAAAAGTAGTAAAATTCGTAAAAGAACAAATGAACACTAAGAATTAAAAGTCTGAAATAATTTTAAGTCTGGATTTTTAAGGGAAATTTTAAAATTAAAGTATTCAAGCTAATGCCAAAGATTGTAAATCATTTCATTCATAGTCTCTAATCACAGAATACGGTCTTCTCAGGAATCTCATTCAAAAAGCTCCTATTTCCCAACACTGCTCACAATGATAATCATAACTGATATCGTTTCTTGGTCAGTTCTGTGTTGGCGTTTCTCAGTCTTCCCCTAAGCCTACCCAATCAACGATTGTATGTCGGAAAAGGTTGTGGTTGGACTTTCCCCAGAATATGCCATCAATTTAATTACTAATGTTTCACAGACTTATGATGATGAATACGTTTATTTGGGACACACCACAAAGCGAGGCCGAGAAGCAGTGAATAAAACGAACGAAGCGACGTGAGTTGGAGAAGCGCGTCGGGGAAGGCTAATGAGCCAACTCCCAGGATTACAATGCAAACGAATGGGCGAACAAAGCGAACGAACTGGCGTAGCGCGTTGGAGAAGGCTAGTGAGCTAAATCGTAGAAATAGAGCATGACTAAGAATACATAGTCAGACAAAGGTAAGACAGACATGTGACCAACGAGATAGGCATGCACACACATGAATAAAAGCGACGATTGGTTGACAAGGTCAAATGACAAGTGGAACACGTCATGTGAGCTCATACAAACCAGACAATAATAGGAACGAATGGTACATATAAATTGCTGAAATACAAATTGCTTGGTTAAATAAATTAAGCGAACTGGAATATATATGGCGGCACTTTACATCTATTTGTTTGCTTTTTCTATCATGTTTAATGTTACAGACAGGGTGAGAATATCAAACGTGCAAAGGTTTTGAATATTTATCAGCTAAAACACTTGAATAATCTAACAATGAGGATGTATTTACGGCAATTTTAGACTTTATATTATACCTGGTTAGTATGTATTCTTGTCACGTCTTGATTGTTTATTTGAGTATTTGTTTTCTACTCAAAATATTCGATAACGTGACTTAGTTCACTGTTGTGTTGTACATCATCCAAATTAATTATCGTGCATCTGTTCGCCAGAAACTTATCATATTTCAAATTATATACTTTCTATTATTGTTTAAACAAGAAATTTTGTTACGGATACATCCGTCAAGAACACAGGATTCGAACCAAGTGATCTATCGCTTAATAACTAACTATATTTCATTACCCTTTTATCTCTATCTTGTTGTTGCTTTTTTAAAACTCTCAGCTTCATCGTAATCAAATAAAAGATACACTGATATTTTTTATTTATTGTACTAAAATTCAACTCATTTGTAATTTGCAAAAGCCGAAGTTAGATGGTAAATTTCTTCCCCTATTTTTTTTTTCTGTCTTCGAACTTCATCGAAACGTGACAGTCCAAACCAAGCCAAACCAAACTAAACTAAATAACTTATCCAACTTGGCATGAAGCCAAATTTTACAAGTTTAGAAGATAAATATTTCTTTCCTTGTTGTCTATTATCTCTAGTATTGTTGTTGTTATTGTTGGTGTTTGTATGTCACATGTCATTTATCTAGCATCTGTTTTCAGTTTTTACTTATATAGTCCACTTATTAAATAAATTCTATTTTAATGTCTAAACAGACACACATAAATCAAATGTACATACTTTGTTAGATAAAAATGCTTTATGTGAGGAAGAAAGGTATGCGCATGTGTGTGTTACCTATATATATATATATATATATATATATGTTTGTATTTAATGGTATGTACCTGTCTGGGATTCTTTCAGATTGACTGCAAAAAACCACTAAAGCGTTGAATTATTACATGGGCCATAATTATCATGCCGGACAAGTTTCCTACCGAGCTAGATAGAGGTGGTGGAGAATTTTCCATCCTTTTGTAATTCGAAAAAAAGTACTCATGTGATTTGGTTCGATTTCATTCTTTACACTATGGCGATCCAGACCAATGATGTATAACTAATACTCACCTTTTTTTTGCAATTTGATTCGTTAAATTTTTATGGAGAACGCCTAATTTTCATTGGATGATTGTTAGAACTTTAGTTTCCTAATGTCTCAGTCATTTCAACCATTTGAAAAAATAAATTTATCACGTAATCGAACTTGGGTTTTTCATGAATGAAGACTACTAATGGTATCCATGCGAAAACGGGATGTTAGCAGACTAGCTGCAGTCACTGACAACTGGATTGAGCCATGTTAATAGGTCTAGGCTACCTAGTTGCGGTCCGTGAGACAGTCGTAACTTTGAATGACATGGCTCGAAATCGCTCGCAATGGCACAGGTGTATTCATTCTTTGTCTTCTCTCAGATTCTAATCTTCAAAATTCCTCATGACTTTTTTTCTGTTTATAAATTTATTTCATTGGGATATACCTCTCGAATCATGTCTTCGATCTCATTGTTGGTTTTTAGTAATGAATTTTTCATTAGTGTTATATTAGCCGGCCTACATCCTGTGTGGATTGTCTTGATATTTCTGTTTTCTTATTAGTTATTTTAAAATAATTGGGTTATGGCAAGTTATAGAATCCAAAACTGACATTTAATCCTTGTTTCGATTCTCTCTTATTACAACCCAGCTATTCCTAATGCTTAGTATTCTCGGACACCAATTCACTCGAGACGTTCTCCCAAATCGGAACAGGAAAAAGATTATATTCCAATAACAAGCTAGATGGAAGACAGAAGGTCCAAAGGAAAAAGACGTTAGTATATTTATAGTTTACTTACATGAGAAGAATCTAGAATGTTCCCTCAGTATCGACTGACGCTGATTGGATACGAAAGAGCCAATCAGCGTTCAGTAACGCAATCATTCTTTAATCCAATCTAAATCCCACTAACAATCCTATGTAAGACTCGTTCTTTACGTGTACTCATACTCCAGTGTTGCAAGGTGGATCTAATGCAAGTGTGAATGCTCAGATCGACAAAGAAAAGGTAACACTTTTACATTTGAAAAATATCTGGAACTCCAAACAAATATCAATCAACGCCAAAATCAGGATTTTCAATACAAATGTCAAGACAGTTATACTGTATGGAGTGGAAACTTGGAAGACTACCAATACCATCATCCACAAGATAAAATGTTTATTAACATTTGTCTACACAACATACTGAGGATACACTGGTCCGACACAATGAGCAATAACCTACTGTGGGAGAAAACAAACGAGATTCCAGTGGAGGAGGAAATCAGGAAGAAGCGTTGGAAGTGGATAGGACACTCCCTACGAAAAGCACCGAACTGCGTCACAAGGTAAGCCCACACTTGGGACCCTTAAGATTAAAGGAAAAGAGGAAGGCGAAGGAACACATTACATTGAGAAATGGAGACAGGCATTGACAGAATGAACAACAGTTGAACTGGAAATGGAGGCCCATGACAGAGTAGGTTGGAGAATACTGGTCAGCAGCCTATGTTCCATTGAGGGTATTGGGCGTAAGTAAGTATACCCAAGTGATAATATTCACATACCAGTTAATTAGGTTAGGGATTGAGTGAACTTCTTAGTTTTGGTGGACTAAGACTGGGCCTCGGTATAAACATCAAAACGGATGGAGGTAAAATCCGCCCGAAAAACCACAAACTGTTAACATTCAACCGTCTAATCTAAATATCTTGACTGTTTATAACAAAATAATGAAACATACGATTACTAACTCTAATTTATCATTGTCATCAACCTATACTAATTAATTTTAAACTGTAATTTTTACCATCAAGCTCATGATTATCATCATACAGATTATTGTATAACATTCGTTATTTTTGAAATGTCAACATTTACTTAGGGTAATTGAAAAAGATTGAAAACTTTTTTCCTATTTTTATTCAATAATACTTTTAGACAAATTTTTAAAAATTCGCATTTTTGTACATAGGGAACTAGTTTTATTTTTTTTTCTTTTTTCATTTTTTTTTATGGTTTACATCATATGATTTGGCTCAAATTCACTGGGTTTTTTTAATGTCTGATTTTATCTTCTTTTCTGAACTGTGTGTGTATGCTGAACACGAATCGTCTAGGTTAAGATAAAATTCGTTTGCTTCAATTCATAACTTGACTGATTGAGTGACTGACTGACAAACGATTAGATTAATTGTAAAGAAGTAATTTTTTTTCTGTCAATTAAACTGATTAGTTAGTAGTAGTGGGCTTACTTTTGGTGGAAAGATTATTTTAAAGGCTTTCTTCCACTTAGGAAACCTGTACTACCACACATATATACATTTGAGTTTGTTCACATTTAAAAATTTATTTAAGCCCCATTTTAACTTATTTAATAGACTGTGAGTCATTCGTCGTCGTATTGCAATTAAGTCCTGTGAACCATTATACTTTTATCATTGTTAAGTGTGTATGAGCGCAGGTACGGATGGACACATTGCTTACTGCCTGTGTGCATATTGATTTTATTCGTTTTGATGTTAGCCTCTTAAATAATTCGATGACTCATTCATTTGCCTATATATGTATGATGTACACCATTTTAATCTTATACTTTCATTAGCTCGTTTGTTCTTCGACAACTACATATCATTTTCGTTTCATGAGTCTCATTTTGTGACCTGTATGCGGTGCGATAATAATCATCATCAACGCTTCGTATTCATCTTCTGATTTATACACTGTTGGACGTTATCTTGGAACGATTAGATCATAACGAGCAGTATACGATACGAATTGTATCGAATACCGACCGGTCCACCATAAACCCAAACATAAAAACATGCATTAGAGAGCGATATGAAATAAGAATGAGCTACAAATTTTCTTCACTGCTCCCGATACAAATTATACGATAGTTAATTTCATGTTATTCACTGTATTGTTAATAGTTGTTTATTTAGACAATATTCTTCTGACTCAATGTCATCCTTAACTTATTCCAGTTTATATTAACAAATGGACAGCAAAAATTCATTGCATTGTAGCTTATGGTAGTCGGTGACGAATACTCTACAGATTTATAACCCTAACTTATTAAATGTAACTTACGCCAGTTACCTCCAGTGGAACATATGCGGCCGACCAGTATTCTCCAACCTACTCTTTAATGAGCCTCCATTTCCAGTTCAATTGTTGTTCATTCTGCTCATGCCTGTCTCCATTTCTCAATGTAATGTGTTCATTCGCCTTCCTCTTTTGCTTTAATCTTGAGGGTACCAAGTGAGGGCTTACCTTGTGACGCAGTTGAGTGCTTTTCGTAGTGCGTGTCCTATCCACTTCCAGAGCTTCTTCCTGAATTCTTTGCTCCACTGGAATCTGGTTTGTTTCCCCCCACAATAGGTTATCGCTCATTGTGTCCGACCAATGTATCCTCAGTATCTTGTGTAGACAACTTTTAATGAATACTTGCATCTTCTGAATGATCGCTTTCGTAGTTCTCCAAGTTTCCGCTCCATACAGTAGAACTGTTTTGAAATTTGTATTGAATAATTTGACTTTGGTATTTGTTAATAGCTGTTTTGAGTTCTAGATGTTTTTCAATGGTAAAAATGTAGCCTTTTCTTTGTCGATTCCCTCCTTTACATCTGCATCGGATCCACCTTGATTGCCGATGATGCTACCGAGGTATGTAAAGATTTTAACGTCTTCCAAGACATCTCCATGAATAGTGATTTGGTTGTTACATGTCTTGTTGTACCGGAGAATCTCGCTTTTCGCTTTATGTATGTTTAGAACTGCTGCTGCTGCTGAGGCTGTAGCTACATTGGTCATCTTCTCTTGCATTTGTGGTTGCGTGTGCGATCGAAGAGCCAGATCGTCTGCAATGTAAACTTAAATTTTTTCCTTTATCATAATGAATAATTTGATATGCAAAGATTAATTAGTCATAGCAAAACCACTATTCCATTGTAATTTCACTACTTCTTTTCATCACATAATTATTATCAATATGCGAGCGCCGGAAAGCAAGCAAGTGAGTGAGTGAACTAATTGGTGAATGTATTAATCAGACTAAAAATGTACATATAAATACTTAGGAAAGTGGCTAAGTTATCGGAATATTTTAGGAGACTAATATTAAAGCTAATAGGATGAATATGCACGTAGGCTGTAACCAATGTTTAGTCGTACCAGCTCATACATAATAAACGCTAAACATAAGTTATTGTTATACAAATGGCTTGGTTAAATAAATTAATCGAAAGGCCTAATGAAATTAAATATGAACGAACACAAATTTGTATGTGGGGGCACTACAGATGTACCAGCGCCACTGCGAACGATTTTGAGCCATGTCGTTCAAGGTCCCTAACCATCGGTGACTTTCGTCTCGCGGAACCCAACTAGGTAGCCTGCATCTACCAACATGACCCAATCCAGTTGTCGGTGTCTTCATGGATTTGTGCCATGTTTTGGTTTAGCCTCCCCTAACTTTCTTCCAACCTACTCCTATACCGCAAAACATAGCACGACGAGGCAGTCAGTGGCTAAGCATTCGTAACACATGTCCTAACCTAACCACCTCAACTGATGAAGTTTCACTACTTCATCCACTGATTTGCCATCCCTACCTAGTATCCGTTTCCTAACAACAGCAATGCTTACTCGGTTGCCCCAGGATACACGAACAATGCTTCGAAGACATCTGTAATTGAATACTAATAACTTACGAATGTCCTCAAATCTTACCGGTTATGTTTCGCATCCATAAAGTAGGACGGAGCAAACTACTGCGCAGTAGACTCATCCTTTGGTTAGCAGTCGGATATCTCTCACCTACCCCATGTGCGTTTATTTAGTAACCTATTTTGTTCCATATTAAATTTATATAAGTTCTGAATAAAAAAAACTTATAAAATTACTATTTTTTTCTTACTAATAAAATAGATCATTCAACTTCCGATGATAGTTATCCAACTAAAATATCTTTTCAATCATACAATCCAATTAGAAACAAATTAACAACAAAATCACAATCACGTTCAATGAAATTGAACAAATCTTCACCTTTTACAACTGAAAATGGCAGAAATCGTTATCATCACCATCAACAACAACAACAGCCTGTTCATATTGTTAATCAATTCAATAAAGAAGAATTTTCACATCTTCCAATTGGTTTTCGATGGAATTATATTTTTCTAAAATTATCCAATTGGTTTCAACGTATACAAACAACAAATTATTCAAGAACATCTTCATCAGATCGTACATCATCATCTTCCATGTCAACTTATAATAATAATGCTGATAATAATAATAATAATAATAATAATAAATTTCCATCTAGATCAAATCTTCATTGTAATCAATTAAAAAGACATGATGAATACATTAGATCACAAAGTCAACCAGTTGAAAAATCTCATAAAATCAAATCAAATTTATATAATCATGAGAATGTTTTAAATAATTCAAAAATTAAATCACCATTATCAAATGAAATGCAACATTTCAAACAAAATATTTCATTGTAAGTTGATTTCTCTTTTTTCTTTTGATCTTGTTCCCTTTTTACGTAATAAACTTATCGACTAAGTGTAAACAGTGTCCATGTAATTTATAATTGAATATGGTTATTATGGTAATTAACGGGTTACTTTATTTTTTTAAATTAAATTAAACCATATCTGGTAGATTGAGTATAGTTGAGCTAAGATTAGCGTAATTAGTGGAACCAGTAATTGAATATATACTGTATGACATGATTAACAATTTGAGTCGGTTACGGCGTTAATGTATCCACTTTTTCTTGTCGTTTAAAATATTTAGATCTTGTGTTTTGTAAATTCTTTCTTCCTTTAATCATAGTTTGTCTGTGGTTAATTTTTTTAATCACTATTACCGTCACTAGTTCCACACGATTTTGAATTTGCAGCAGCCTCTGCAGCAACAGGTCTAAACATGCATAAAGGAAAAAGCGAAATTCTCCGATGCAACACAATATGCACCAACCAAATCACTCTTCATGGAGATGCCTTGTAGGATGTTAACACCTTTACATATCTTGGCAGCATCATCGAGAAGAAAGGGGGATCCGATGCAGATATGAGGGTACGGATTGGCAAAGGAAGGGCTGCATTTCTACAGCTGAAAAATATCTGGAACCCCAAACAAATATCAATCAACGCCAAAATCAGGATTTTCAATACAAATGTGAAGAAAGTTCTACTGTATGGAGTGGAAACTTGGAGAACTACGAAAGCCATCAGCCAGAAGATACAAGTGTTTATTAACAGTTGTCTACACAAAATACTGAGGATACATTGGTCAGACACAATGAGCAATAACCTACTGTGGGAGAGAACAAACGAGATTCCAGTGGAGGAGGAAATCAGGAAGAAGCGTTGGAAGTGGATAGGACACGCACTACGAAAAGCACCTAAGTGCGTCACGAGACAAGCCCTCAAATGGAACCCTCAAGATTAAAGGAAAAGAGAAAGGCTATGGAACACATTAAGCCGAGAAATAGAGAAAGACACGAGAATGAAATAAAATTCGACAGAAGTGGAAAGGGAAGCTCAGGACAGAGTAGGTTGGAGAAAACTGTTGGGCTGCCTATGCTCCATCGGGGGTAACAGGCGTAAGTAAGTAAGTAATTTCATCCGACTGTATTGATATGATACGGCAAATCAAACCAATGCATATATATGACTGTTTAAATTGATGATTCGAAGGATTTGAAAAAATGTATATGTTTTTTTCTGCAAACGGAATTGTAACTGAAGAAAACTTATTTAAAAATCCTGTAACATAAGCTATATATTTTGGTTGAATTGAAAACTTTGTAGTAGAGAATACTCATTTCCCTGGACAAGATCGACCTCATATCTATCATTTAGAGTTATTGATAAGTGAATGACTCTGTCACTATTATTGCTATTATTATTATTATTATCATTACTATCTAAGTGGATGAATTTCTTCTACAAACCGATAATAATCTTTGATAAATATTATATCCAATTACTTCTGACAAACATAAAAGAACCAATTTTTTTTTAGAATAAATTTCAGAACCGATCATTTTTTTATCATGGAACAATATCAATAAATAGTTGTACTGTTGTATATAGATTATTTCTAGAAATTCAAAATGTTGTCCATTTACATTTTCGTGTAACAAAATATTTCGCTGTCAATTAAATAGTGATTATTTATTCATGATGACAAATTGAACAGGAAACTAAATGATTTAATTCAATGAAATAAAGTTCTTATGTACACAATGTTTCCCATCTTATGATAACAGCAATCTCACACTTAATAATAAACAAAATAATACGATTTTCAAGATTGTCTGACATGTCATTATCAATTATTGTATTAGAAATTCATAACACACTCCATTTATACTACTTTTCGACCAACCAGTCAGTCAGTAGTATGAAATCATCACTTAATAGTGATAATTCAAATCTGACTTCATAAACTTATATATAAAAGATAATCTAAACAATTAATAATCATAACCACAATCAATACGAGTCTATATATTGAACATTGGACATCGAACTATTTATATGAGAGGTCTTACATGATCTTACATGGCTACTCTGATAGTTATCAATCGAGAGTCATTTGAATTTCTCACCTACATGTAATATTGATTTGTCCGCTTTTTTTATTCTCTATGTATTTTTCAAAATTCTCACAAAATATTAAATGTTTCAATTGTTCCATCGAATAGTTTGTAAATAAATTGAATATTTTATTATTGTGTTTTTTTTATTGAATCAGATCTGATTTTGAACAAATAAATAATTCTATCGAAGAAAATATACCATCCTCTTCATCTTCTGCAATATCTACTCAATTTCCTGTGATTTGCAGCAATGATTCTTCACCAATCATTCATACGACTAATAAAAATATTAACCGAACTAATTGTAATTTATTTTCATCATGTCAAAACAATAATTCCTGTTCATGTTCAGATATATCTTTTAATAATTTAAGCTACACTAATTCACATGAAATCTCATCAAACTGTCTATGTAGTCAAAGTTGTCCAATAAAAAATTCACATCAATTGAATGAATTCCAATTTGACAAATATCAAATATCATCCACTACATCATGTTTATCTGATTGTTGTTTTTGTCAAAGATATCTTAATTATTGTGAACATTGTCAGTTAGTTCCATATTCATTTACTAATCAATATAGACAAAATGATCAAACAGTACAATCATCTCATTGTCACAATTCACCAAAACCTCATTATCATCATTATTATTATTCCTGTCAACATCATCATCATCTTCATCATCATCATCATCACCATCATAATCACCATCGTCAACCACAACATCATCTAAATCCTAATTCTAACCAATGTCATCACATGAAATTCCCCTCCACTAATCCGATTACAACAAATGCCAACTGTATTAATTATTCAACACAGAGAAAAGCTTCAAGAAATTTTCATTTAAATTTAGATAATCAATATGCTACTATTGGTCAATTAGGACAATGGACATCCGATCAATCTGACTGTTTGAAGATATCTCCATCATTTAATAAACCAACAACAGCAACAACAATAACAACTGATTGTTCATCACCTGTGATCACTTTACAATGTTTAAATTTGTCAGAAAAACAATTCACTAGATTGGATGATCATATTGACAATGTAACAACAAATGAAGAGAATAATATTGATAATAATTCAATCGATAATGAGTATACAATGAATACAAGAAATATTTCATCAGCACATTTCATAGATTATTATCACCAAAATCATGAGCACGAAGTTGTTGTTGAACGAATGAATGCAGATGACAACGTTGTAGAATGTGTAGGAAGCACAGGAAGCACATGTTCAGATTTAGTAAATGGTGAAAAAGTACAATGTGTAAATATTCCCAAAATTGATAATACTACTATTACTACTCATACTACTACTACTACCAATAATACATTTGTTAACCAAAAGTTTGTAACAGATTTGATGCTTTTAAAACGAGTACGTTATCTATAAATAATAATAGGATATCTTTACTATTAACCATTTAACTATTTCATAAAGATGAGCTTGAGAGAATTTAGCAATCCAGCTAAGACAACCTGTTTTCTCCATATTCAACCAGTCAGAATACAACGAATATTGAATGAACGATTTAGACTATCATATTTAGGATTTAGGTTTTGTTATTTAGGCTTAAGATATAAAGATGATTGTCAGTTCAAATTGAAATTCATTGATTATGGTATGTAATAAAATATCTTTAGAATCATATTACTTACTTGCTTACTTACTTACGCCTGTTATCCCCAATGGAGCATAGGCCGCCCATCAGTTTTCTCCAACCAACTCTGTTCTGGGCTTCCTTTTCTAGTTCTTTCCAGTTTTTTTCATTCTTCTCATATTTTTCTCTATTTCTCGGCGTAATGTGTTGCTTGACCTTCCTCTTTTCCTTTGAACTTGGGGGTTCCAAGTGAGGGCTTGTCTTGTGACGCAGTTGGGTGCTTTTCGCATTATCATGTAACCGATTATAAATTCAGACTGTTAGCAGCTAATGAGAAGCGTTGAAATATAATGGATTCATTATATTCTGTCAGTACCGTTTTTGTCACTTTATGTAAAGTTTTTGAGAGGATCAGATCTTGAAACAATTTGTACATTTACCGATGACTTACTTTTATAAGGCCAACTCTGTTAATGTTGGTTATTTAAAAGATTATAACGGAGAAAATTACTCTCATAAAAAATATTCTACCGCTTTATTGATTCACGATTTGAGTTATTTTATTGGAGGCTTTATTTATTAATTTGAACATTGCCTGAAAATTTGAATTAAATTATCCTGTAAAAATAAAATAGTTCATACAAATGTGATTGAGGATTAGCAATTAAATTTAAATACTTTATAAATGCTGTTGTCAATCTTATATTCAATCAAATACTTTATGACAATCGATTTTAGAAGTTTTTAGTAATATGTACGAAGATTTACAATAAATTAAAACAATCCATGTGGATATTCGAATATTCCTTCCCTTGTAATATAAAAACTGTCGAGTAATCAAGTTTCAATAGATTTTGTTAGAATCTTCAACTGCATGTCAGTCAGTCAGATGCAACGTAGAACTTGGTACGTAAGTACATCAGTTCATGTTGCCATACCACATCAGCACCACATCAGTACATGACTAAAATCTTTCTACAGCTCTTGTATATCCGCCTATCGAAAAATTCGGTAAATTCCAAGTGATTTTATTCTTGTAGTCTTCTAATCTTAATATGAGTTAGTATGTATACATCTTTATTCGTCATAATCTATTTCAATCGTCGAAGCGAAGAATGCCCATGTTTCGTTTTTTTGTTGTTTATTTTATTACATTTCAAGACTTCTTAATATTCATTATTTTTTCGGGTGTTAAATTATTCGTTTTTCTAGAAATACAGCTTATATTGCTGAATTTTTAATTTTCAAATAAGTGTTTTGCAACTGTATTTGTGCTACTTATAAGTAGTATAACTGAACAGGCTAAATTTATTTGTGACACATAAAAATCTTTTGGTTTTTAGATTGGTTGGTACTGGGGTCCATTGACAGTGGAGGAAGCTGAATTATTACTGAAGAACTGCTCAGATGGAACTTTCCTTGTACGTGATAGTAGTCATGACTCATATATTCTGAGTGTCAGTTTTCGCTCTGGTGGCCAAATTTATCATACAAGGATTGAACATCTGGCTGGTAAGTTACCTTAGTAGCACTAGCACAACCAATAGAAATTTTTGTTACATACATATTTAACATCAATTCAGCCTTATAAATGACGCCACATTTAGTTATCCATATATTTCTTTGCAATTATCCCATATAGATAATGTAAACATTGTCGAAGTTTAACAGTTTAAATCACGCGTTTATCAACATTGGAAACCTAGAAGCACTGGATAGCTGTTTCTTCTTAAACAAGGATTCCTCAATGGTATCCCAAGACCAAGCAAGTGATGATCAAACCCAGGTCCCTTGGTCTTGGCCCCTCTACCCTTAACTCCCCTACCACCAAATCAGCGTCTAATTTTAACTAACTCTCGATATTACTCAACCCTTAGCACCTGTGATGGATAACTGCTTAATACGTGGCATCGTTGGGTTTTTTGCTGTGAATAGTGGTTATTAACCTCACACCCAACCCTCTCTAGTGCCTCCAAATACATTTGAGTTCGCTTATATTTGATTTGGTTAGGCCTTTCGATTAACTTATTTAACCAAGCCTTTAGTATAGCAACAACTCATATGTACCATTGGTTTTTACTATTTTCTAGTTTGTATGAGCTGGTACGACTGAATATTGATTACGCCCATGCACATATTCATCCTATTCGCTTTAATGTTAATTTCTTAAATATGTCGATGATTCGACATTTCCTTTTGTATGTATACGAACATTTTAATCTTATCAATTCCTTCACCAACTCACCACTTCGCCAACTCGCTCGCCAGTGTGCTTGCTCTTCTCTGTGTTTTTGTGGTCTGCTGTTCAACACCTCGTGTTTACCTTCCGTCAGGCGCTATTTGGTGACGATTGCCTAGACGAGCAAATTACGAAAACTAAGAACACGTTGAATATCAACCGTCACGAAACTAGTGATACATTGACCACCACACCTCCCTACTCCGAAGTGGGGACTGGCTTTAATCCTAGAAGGGCTGCAGACGGAGTTACACTACAGGACATAGCAGTAATTAACTATTTTATACAGTCTTTCGACTGTTCAACTTATCACCTTTTCTCATAGCACCCTCAGCTATGTACTTGGTACTAAACCTACTGAAAAAGTTCAGACCAAATTATTGGACAACTTGTGTAATTCTGAGATCAAAGCCCTAGATTTCTGTACAACTGTTATTAGGGACAACGCAAGCAATGCGTTCGAACAAACCTCTATTCATCACGTATTGAAGGTATTTCACACTTATCAAGGTACAGTCGACAAGGAAGTGCCATCTGTGATGTTAATATGATTATTATTTACAGTTGAATAACAGTCAGTAGTTCCGTCAATTAAACAACGGCAGCTAATAAACGGAAACAAGAAATACCACAAATAAACGCACTGACAAGTGTTTTAAAATGATTGAAAATACAATAAACTACTAAATTTTAATAAGTAATATAACTAACATAAAAAACAAAATGGAATAAATAAAAGGATGTTAAAAGAGCTACCAGTGTTACTAAAACTCTTGCACAATTTTCAAGTGTCGCTCAACTATTAGAAATGTAGAAATTCAACATTTCTGGTATACTAAAAGGATTTGACAATCTTTTCAAACTCCTAGTAATAAATATTTGTGAGTAATTTTTTTCAATCACAGTTATGGAGATCAAAGTTTTACACAGTGAAATCATCAATCAATCGCTTTATTAGACCACTATTAGAAACCTGGAAGCACTGAACGGCCGTTTCGTGACCAGTGGAGTTCAACCCTATCGGATGTAGTCAATAACTACAGAAGAAAAATAGATGAGTTGCGCGGAATCCCTAGGTTGATCAGAGTTCGACATTAACACCATCGGATGCTGACCCAATGATCTAGAGGTTAGGCGTTTGCGCTCAAGGCTGAATTTCTTGGGTTTGAATCCTGTGCACTGCTGATGTGTCCCATACCATGGCGAAACGGCCATCCAGTGTTTCCATGTTTCTAATATTGGTCTAACAATGAATGATTCATGATTTCAATGTGTAAATAATGATTAATTTACAAAATATTAGTTATTGTTTATGATTTGTTTATTTCTAATTACAGGTAAATTTAGTTTGGCACTTTTAAATGATTTGAATGACAATGTTTCATCGAGTGTAGCTGAATGTATTGAACGTGTCATGATTGATTCATTTCAAGATCGTATGCATTTTTTACCAATTCTTGATGATACTTCACCATCTAATCCCAGTGTACAGTTCATGAATAATCATCATCCACATCCACATCAACATGAACAATCACAACAAATTGATCATACATTAGAGCATTTACAATCCACACGTCGTTCTACCTCGATTACACATATAAAAGCGTCTTTATTACATCCATTATCACGTTTTCTTATTGTCCCGTCATTGGTACATTTATGTCGTTTTGAATTGTTATTACATGTTCGATATGATCATATTGATTTATTGCCATTACCATTGCATATAATACGTTATTTAAAAGAAAGTCAATATTATGCTGAATTTATTCCAGCCTATTTAGAATTATTAGCTAATATGAATAATAATAATAATAATGACACTCAGCAAATTCAATCCTAATTCTATTGTTTGTATGAAATATAGAATTTACAATCCATGTTGTTTCTATTACCCTCCACATTCCATATATATATGAATTAAACTATGTCATGTGATTTATGTTATACGATATACACATAAAAAACAATGAAAGATTATTTTTGAAGGTTAATATTCTACAGGAATTATTAGTATTACTACTACTATAAATATATATGATTATGTACATATTATTCAACTGTTTTTCTATGATTGTTCTGGATTGCGCAAGCAAAATAACGTTTTTATATTAAGATCACCATTGTTTGTTTTTTTTTGTTTAGTTTTATTGATTTGTTAAATGTTTCACATTTATTTTTCGTGAATAAGGTTGTTGTTGTTGTTTTTTCATGTGACTTGATGTTATTATTAACTAATATTACCATTACCATTAACGTACAATTGAGTGTTACAAGCTATACTACTCAAAGATTAATAGTAGTTTATTTTTATTTCCAATATTTTTTGGGTGAAGATTTGAATATATAAGTAAAATAATATGTTGGATCATACGTCTGTATTTTTAAGAGAATAATTGAGAAAAACAGTATATGAATCCTACCTCACACACAAACTATATATATATATATATATATTTCAAGCAAACAGTTACAAAATATTCAAAGAATTTTTACCCAATTAATTTTAGAGTACCAATTTTATTCATAAATGCACATATATATATACGCACACTTGACTTAAAATCAATAAAACTTTCAACTGAAGTCGAACAGTGAACATCATTTCTTGTTTTCGTTCACTTACTCTCTCTCTCTCTCTCTCTCTCTCTCTCTCCTATTGAGTAATTGTTTCTTACTTGTATCCATCGATAATGATAACATGTATTACCCCATGTAAACGTTATTATTTTACTAAATTTTTATTCTGTAGTTGTTATAAGTGTGTATATATATAAATATGTTGATTGGATTGTTTAATTACTGGTCTGATAGTTTACGCTTCTCTTTGTTGTTGTTTGTTTGTTTTGTTACACCCGCTTTTTTGTTTCAATTATTATCATTATTGTGAGTAGTAGTTCTATTCGCGTAGTCTTTATAACTTAATCAAATTAATAAGATTTTTAATCCATGTCTAATTAGGCTAGTACATTTGTTTCGTCTATTTATCGAAATAATAATGAATTGTATACTTGTATTGTTTCGTCAGATCTTTAATTTTTGTGTGTTTTCCATGTTATCAAATAGAAATACTAACTAATGATAATCGAAAATGCATGTAATTGACAAATAATTTCTATGTATGCGTGTAGAAGAGAAGTTAGGCTAATCGTTTTGTTGATAGTTCAAAGTAGAAGTAAACGGATGTAAGGCATCTAGACTTTTAATTAAATGCCAAAACACAGCATAAATTCATGTTTTTGAATAGATATGAAAATCATATCAATACACTGTCTGAAATTTTGAGTATCATCATTCATCTAAGTTTATTTGATAAATTAAATTATATTATTATCATTTTTGATTAGAGTAAAAAAATCACTTTCATTTCATTTTGAAATCAAAAAAAGTAAAACTGCAATACTACTTTAGAGATGTTCTTTTTTTAACAGTATATAATTTGTGTTATTCACTCTAAGGACTAAATCTGAAATATTTAAACTGAATATATTTACATTGTTGGATTGAACAAGACCAATTCTTGTCGAATCAAGTTTAGTTAAAATTGAGCTTTTCAACAATGTAACACTAAAATCCTTATATATGTATATATTCGTCAATGACTAGCGGAAGGGTCAATTCATCAGAAACATGATGAGAATTTGTAACTTGCGTACATTTAACCAGATATATGTATATTAAATGGTAGTATTCAAAACGAGAAAAATTAGTGAGATAAAATTACTTCACAATGTTGTCGTCTGCTTTTGTAACGTCTCACAGTATTAAGCATAGATTTCTATCTGTGACAGTAAAAATTACTGATTTGATCTCTTGATTGTTCGAGACCAAGTCTAAATCAATATGATTCTTTTAAGTTTTTGTTATTACTGACTAACTAACTAACTAACAGTGAATTCATGCTAAAACATAATAGACACTTATTAATAATCAGAAGTTAGTAAGATTTGTGATACATTTGTGAAAAATAGTTCGATTTAGTGTATCCCTATCATGTATCAAAAAACCATTGAAAACTGGCAGGTAGGAGTCAGTAATTTCAACCTTGTTCAAAATTTCCACAGTACTATGTACCAAGAATCTAAACCAGAATCTTGATTCCTGTTTGTAAATGATAGAGATTTTAAATTAATGATTTAAGATTTGATAAACCGTATCTTCACATGATTAAAATATCCTAAGTTTGGTCTACCGCGTATTCTTGAACAATAACGAAGCATTTATCCACTAAAACAGCACTCTAGCCGATATCTTTACCAATCGTCATCAGTAATTATAATAAAAGCGATTTGAAATTCACTATGTTAACTGATTATACACACAATTTGCTTCAGTTCAAATGAATGACTTATGGTTTGTTCTCAAAATAATTATTCATAACTGTTCATTTTATAGATAATCATATCAGAAGAAGAAGAAGAAGAATATACTACACATATTTAAATCAGCTAATGTGTTTTGATTTTTACACATTTAAAATCATCAATAAATCATTGTTAGACCACTTAGAAACCTGGAAGGACTGGACGGCCGTTTCGTCCTGATATGGGACTCGTCAGTGGCAGTGCACATCCACGACTTCGCGAGGAAATTCTTGGAGTTTTAGTGAGAAGACGTGACGAATGGAGTTCAATGCTGTCGGGTGTAGGCAGTAACTACCAAAGACAAATGGGTGAGGTCACGCAAAATCCTTAGATCAATCAGAGTTAGACATTAACACCGTTGGATGCCGGCCCAGTGGTTCGATGGTTAGGCGCTCGCGCACAATACCGAAGGGCCCGGGTTCGAATCCTGTGAGTTTCAGGAGTCGTGTATGCGCACCGCTGATGAGTCCCATATCAGGACGAAACGGCTGTCCAGTGTTTTCAGGTTTCTAATGTTTGTCTAACAATGATTGGTTGATGATTCCAGAAGTGTTTTGATTTGTTTTCACATCATAATCATTAAATACTTCTAATACATATAACACACTATTGACAATAATTTACAAACCATAAATAATTTTTGAAAGTGAACATTAATCTGTGCAGAAATCAATCTGAAAGAATAATACTCAAATAAATGTTTGTTTTAATGTTTACCTACGGCTACTTGAAAATAAACAATTCTTGTCAATTTGATTTTGTTTAAAAATATGTCACGTGACCTTCAGCTTTCATGTAGATATATATTTATATATTTCTAATGAAATAATCAAGAGTTATCTATAGTATGGATTGATGTGGCCAACTTGAGCCTTTTAGATTTCATTGTCTTTCTTTCCCCCCTGCTATTCACATTATATCATCTCATGATAAACTTGTTCTCCCTATTTTTTTTAAAAATGTTGATTTTTGAAAAAAAAATATAATGATAGACATAATATTATATTTGTGGTTATTTGATTTTGGTGTTATCAGTGTAACCAGAACAAAAATGTCCTGTCAACAATAGAGAGAGATAGTGTATTGTCAACATGATAATTCAATCACATAATAATGGATGACGTAATAGTAGTAGAAAGAAATAAATGCAAAAGGATCATTGCTTTTTTTCCAAAACAGTTAACATGACATTTATTATTATAAACGAGGAACAGATATACATATGAATGTGTAGCGAATGATTAGATAGAATCAATTGGAAAAAAGGATAGTTTCGGTTTAGACCTTTTTCTGTCGCAAAGTTTATCTCCATAGATAGGAATTCGTTTCGATAAAAAAGAAAGGCGTAGAGAAAAGGGAGGGCGGGATAGATGATAACTGATTTCATGCAACTTCCATATGATTTTGGTTTTTTGTTGTTTTGTTGAATCAATGAATTTTTGTTGAGGTCGCACAACTGAAATATTTCAAATATAATAATTAGTTGAACTAGTAAATTCATAATTTTTTTTAAATGTTACGATAGTTATGGTGTCATTGGAGGCGATATTTGCTTGGTGAAAGATTTTGTGAACGTGGAAATAGTATGAATCAACTGGATAATAATGTATGGTTTGAAAATTTCTTTTTTTCACAAACAGATTTAATCCTTACCACTCTTGACGAACACCTGCGTCACTTACGGCGCAGGCGAGATATCCGCTTGTTAACCAAAAGAAGAGAGTGCTACGCAGCAGTTCGCTCTGTCCTGCTATACGGATGCGAAACATGGCCGTTAAGAGTAGAGGACGTTCGTAGGTTACTAGTCTTCGATCATCGGTGTCTCCGAAGCATTGCTTGTCTATCGTGGGATGACCGAGTAAGCAATGCTATCGTTAGGAAACGAGTTCTAGGTAGGGATGGCAAATCAATAGATGAAGCATTGAAACTTCATCAGTTGAGGTTGTTGGGCCACGTGTTACGTATGCCTAACCACCGACTGCCTCGTCGAGCTATGTTTTGTGGTATAGGAGTAGGCTGGAAGAAAGCTAGGGGCTGCCAGACCAAAACATGGCAGAAATCCATGAAGTCAATGACAAAAGGACTGAGTCATTTTGGTATATGTCGACTACCTGGTTGGGGTCCGCAAGGCAAAAGTCAACAATGGTTAGAGACCTTGAATGACATGGCTGAGAATCGTTTGCAATGGCGCAGGTGCATCCACTCTTTGTGTTCTCTCTAGTTCTAACCTTCTAAATTCCTCATAATTTCCATCTTTCTCCTTCTAAATTTGTCTCACTGAATTATGCTTCTCGAATCATATGTTCGCTCCCCAATCTTCTCCATTACTGCTTATACTTCTATTATTGCTATCACTGTTGGATTTGAACTGACGATTGCGTCTCTGTGCTGACGTGGTATGGCAACCTGAACTGATGTACATATGTACGAAGTTCTGCGTTGTATCTGTCTATGTCTACTCTTGACGAACTTATTAGAT